GGATCAGGGTTTGAAGGTCATACTATTTACGTCTGTGAGCGTGTAGCGAACATAACTTACATAGATATATGAAAATACATGAGAACAATGATCTGGAAAAAGGATAAATGTATCAGAACTATGTGAGGTGTTGGAAGTGACCCAGAAACTATACTTGAAAGGAAATATCTTGTATGCATCGGTATGAACTTAATACACCTCGTAGCCTCACGTGACATATACCCACTACAGGTACAGTGATCAGAGAATCTTATGTCTGTGTTCAAATAGTGCAATGTGTGAGAGGAGGATCCCTAATTACAGTTTTAAGTGAAGTTGATACACCCCCGCCATGAACATTCAGCCTTTGTTTTAAGGCGCGTCATGTACCCGCCTCGAGTGTGCCGCGTTGATATTATAACCCAATGAATTTACCCACGAATTAGCAAACCAGAACCTTACCTTAGTGTGTAATTTAGGATTAAAATATGTGTTTATAAGGCATGAGTTACAATATACCGAAAAGTGTTCAGGTGAGAACCATAAGAAACAAAAGTAAAAATTTAAGATTGGAAACTGTAGGCCTACTCAGTGAGGAGCGGCAGGGCACTGCACTCAGTACCCTCCGTCCTACCGTCACCTCAGGTCAGTGTCCTATCGGGCTATATCCCGCCCTATAATTAAGGCTTATATAGAAGTTATTACAGTTTAAAGCTTTGCCTGATGTATAAGTGTAATAGTAATGTGTTAGGGGGTGTGATAACCGCCCGTCAGGCATTATTTCTGATTACCCTCCGTTCTACCGTCACCTCAGGTCCCTTGCAGTCGGAGTGCCTTGCTGCGCGGCAGCCATTATCCCTCTAAGCATCCCAACAGGTGGTGACTACTCCTAGCTATGCCAATCCACTGTGAACCTGTGGATTCCCAGCACCTCACTCCAAATGAGTAGTAACAAATAAGGAGACCGTGAGAAACTCTGCGGTCGTCACTTGGAGCGACCTACAATACCAGGAGAAGAAATAGTACTGGTATGTCTCTTGGTGAAGCCCTCGTCTTTACCCACCGAGGGCGGTGTGCGAACGAGGTGCCTGTTGTGTATACCTACAAGTTACAAGGAGTCCTATACCTGCAGGTGTGGAGTGTAACAGGTGTGTTGAGATGGTGCTACTATGTATGATAACCGACGGTGCTATATTCCATACAGGTGGAGCAGTCTGATGTGTTAAGGGATAGTGTAAGAAGGAATGACCGAGGTAAGGTGGTCACAGATTGTTATGCAATAAGTAGGTGGATGACACGCCATTAATGTAAGACGTCTGGTGCCCGTCTGGGTAACCAACATTTTCGTTGTTCTTCTGAGGAAGACCAATTCATTTGTATGTTTTTTACCAGTATGCTTGATAAGGAATAAATTAATTAAGACATGTTATTGGTTTCACCCTTCCTTCCCCTTATCGATCTGGTTAATGAAAAACCTAACCCAATGCCTAGTCCACTCTGCACGCTACCTGACGAGCTACATGCTGTCCAGAGGGGGTCTGGTGGCAGCGACCCTTAGAAATTAAGATTGGAGTTAAGTATTTACCCTTAGAATTAGTGACCCCCAGTCTGGCAGTATACCAGTACTTGCCAACAGTGCGTAACAGAGAGCCAGTACATGCCCAGTACTTGCCAACAGTGCGTAACAGAGAGCCAGTACATGCCCAGTACTTGCCAACAGTGTGTAACAGAGAGCCAGTACATGCCCAGTACTTGCCAACAGTGTGTAACAGAGAGCCAGTACATGCCCAGTACTTGTCAACAGTGTGTAACAGAGCCAGTACATGCCCAGTACTTGCCAACAGTGCAACAGAGCCAGTACATGCAGTACTAAAGTGTAGCAGAGCCAGTACATGCCCAGTACTTGCAACAGAGTGTACAACAGTGCCAGTACATGCCCAGTACTTGCCAAAAGTGTGTAACAGAGCCAGTACATGCCCAGTACTTGCCAACAGTGTGCAACAGAGCCAGTACATGCCCAGTACTTGCCAACAGTGTATAACAGAGAGCCGGTACATGCCCAGTACTTGCCAACAGTGTGTAACAGAGCCAGTACATGCCCAGTACTTGCCAACAGTGTGTAACAGAGCCAGTACATGCCCAGTACTTGCCAACAGTGTGTAACAGAGACATGACCGACCGCCTAATTGACTAACGAGTTTATGAGTGGGGAAGAGGATAAAGAAATTTGCTAGTTATCGCAGCAAGGAACACATTTTCTGTTGTTAACCCAAACTTCTGGAATAACTGTTATATATCTATAGACAGCAATATATTACCTTAATTTTACCTAATGGTTACCCACTAGAGGTGACCAAGCTTAGGGAAGGTGACCAATGACATGCAAGATCCTTCCATTGTTCTTGACTATTAATGGGTGATAGTACAGTACGCGAGAGCTCCTATGTTATCACTGCACTTCAAGAACTAAGGTTTTTAAACTCGCAACACGGCTAATAATTAAACTCGTCCATCAACAATTAAAAATATTTAAATAAACCTCTATATTATATCAATTCACTATATTATTCTCCCTAAGAGATCAGGATATCCCTCACGTTTTCTTTGGTGGTGTAGCGGTGAGGGCTGACTCAGATAAATGCATCCTCACGCTGATCTCATTATTCCTCGACTGAATCATTAGATGTACCTTCATGTAAGAAAATGTTCCACCATATATAATAATCATAGGTTTATTATATCAGTAAGAAAGCGTGCTAACTAATTATCAATAATCTAAAACAAAAATATTTAGTCTCACTGCTTTCATGTAGATTACGAAGTCTTAGTATTACTATAAATGTCATGTGAATTTTCATAATACACCTCGATGGAAAATTCACGTTTACCTGAGTCCCCGTTGCTAGTTGATTAAATTCCGTTTTCTATTTGGCTCTGATAGTTACAAGGGAAACGTGTGTACTATAGCAATGTGTTTTAGCTATGAAAATTAAATAATAATACTAATAATAAATAGTAATAATAATAATAATAATACTAATTATAATACTAATAATAATAATAATAATAACGAGCCGATCAATGAAGATAAAAGTAAATATTAATACAAAGAAAACGGAGGCTTGATAGGGGAGACCTCACCCAAATCTTCCTCAGCCAACAACTTTCCTCAATACCTACAATCTAACCAAAGGAAGGCCCATATAACACACTCAGCTACTCAAAAATATATAAAAATAACAAGATAGTATACTTAGCTACCTTCTACAACAAAACAACTCGAATCAAAATACAAAATACCAATGTCTGACGGGGGCAGATACACCCATTGTGACATTTCAGGAATTATTTTTTTTTAGTACTGGTAATTAATTGTCACCGAAAACAGTATATCCTAATAGATATCAAACAACATGTAAAAAAAAATGTCCTATGATGTCTTAGTTAAAAACCCAATTGACATTCGCTAGGGACATACTGTTTACCTATCTATCTATGACCATAAGTCTAGTATAAACATCATGTGTTCCTCCTTGTGGCCTGCTTAGGTTCTGAGTACCAGCACTTTATACTGATTCACTTAGTCAAGATAAGACATACGCACCAGTCAGCCTCTCTAATCACTGTCAAGAACTGTATTTAATAACAACAATAACACTAATAATACTGTAATAATAATAACAACAATGACAGATAATAACAATAATAATCTTATAACAACAATAATAGTAACGATTATAACAACAACAATAATAATAATAATAACAACGATAATAATAACACTATCAAAACAATAACAATGTCATTACACCACAATATCAATAACGATCTCTTTAAGTATCGTGGCTATCGTTCACAAGCCAGTAATTACGAATGCTATAATCTATCTCGTTATCTGATTACCGATTGGTTATCAGTTAAGACCAGACAACAAGCACCCCACGACACGTACTGTAAACACATGGCTGTAACCAAGCAAGGGAGATCATCTGTTTATTAGGTAAGTCAGATGTTTCAGGTGTTTAGTGACTTTAACTCGTCTTAATAGTAAAAAAATAATGATGTATTTGTGTTTATTTCAGTTTATTTCATCGGATTTATTAATACCCTTATGGTTTGCCTCGTAGGTAGGATGGTGTTTGTGTTAGGTTAAAGTTAGTTATATCTAGGTTAGGTTAGGTTAGAGTTACGTTAGGTTATGTTAGGTTAAAGTTAGTTATATCAAGCTAGGTTAGGTTAGGTTAGAGTTACGTTAGGTTATGTTAGGTTAAAGTTATATCGTTAGGTTAGGTTAATTCGTATGTTAAATTCACCAAATTCCTGTTATATCGCCTAAAACACTAATTGCCGTCTTCACTGTGTCTTATGTTTCAAAGTTAATCTCTAAATTTTTCTTATTATCTTAATCTATTTTATATAGGAAAGTTACGGAGAATTTATTATCATTAAAATTTATTCTCATTTTCTGATATTTGTTTCAATTAGCTGAGTACTTTCGTATTAGTATCAGATAAGGGCTGTAAAAATATATAATGATCTTCCACTCATACATACGGACAATAAATAAAGTTAATTATATTCCTAAGACAACTCTAGCTTAAAATACCTCATTCTTATTTTCCCAACTGTTAATAAATTGCTTTCTACTTAATAATTATCTATAACACTCAGTTCTATATAATGTAAAATGGTTATTTGATTTGTGTTTTGTACATTAATGATTTTAAATAATACTAAATTAGAGGCGAGAAGTTACTTAACCACCTCACCAGCCATCATAATACTTCATTGTAAAGTAACATTAGGAAAAAGATAATATTTACTTTACCATTACACAGGTCTTGGTGGAGTACTATCAAATCCTTCTTCAAACAGGAAAACTATTGTAAGAAAACAGTAATCGTAATATTAGGAACAAAAATAAAGGTTTAACAGACTTCCTTCCGCCAGCAGCCGATGCTCGCTCGACACTGACTGACCATGGCATAATTCACAGTCTCCCTTTAACGTTCTCACAGACAGCACCTCGTCGTTCCCTCCAACTTTTTTTCTTTATTTTACGATTAGTTTTCTTATTAAAGTTTTCCTGCGTGAAGGAGAAGGAAATAGTAAGCCACCAACACCTGTTTTGAAGGTAAATATTATCTACACAGTGTAACATTAAGACAGTGGCTGAGGTGTTTCAAGTAAGTGCTCTCCTTACTATTTTGTTTTATTTTTTTTAATTAAGTCATTAAAGTGACGGTATTGGTGTTGGTGTTACATAATAATTAGAGTCAGTCAGGTTATGTTCTGAGCTTTCTGAACTGTTGTACCATTAACCTCGTGTCTTCTGAATAGTTTTAGGAATTTCACTACAACGTTATCTTATAATTTACGACATTTAAACCATGAAATAATGAGGATAAATATTCTACATTTGTTATATATTAGGTTAATTACTGTACATATCTCGTGAGTGGCCATGCCGAGGGAAGGATGCCATAGGTCGACCAGCCTGTGTGAAGTAGTATTTCCTTATATTTCATCTAACCTAACCCCTCCCCACCAGGTAACGTTAAAATAATGGGATTTCTTTTTCCTTCTGAATTACATGTACCTGTATTGTAAAAGAGGGGGGGTAGAGGCTGTACAGGAAATCCCCCCAACCCTATTGTAAGTCATCCCTCCCAAGGCTAGACGTCCTTGGGTCCGGGTGGCGTGAAGATCTTGGCTTCCTTCTTCCACGCTTCAACTACATACAAAATATTACTACGTTGATATAAACATACTTCAATAGCTCCGAGTTGTTATAAGTCTATGTTCTTGTCAGATACTTTGATATACATGTTGAATTGGGACACGGTTAGGTACCTGTACGTGTATGATTAAGGACACGGCCATGTCTTAAGAGTATACATATCCTGGAAGGTGTGTTCGTGTGTCTGTATTCCTATTGTTTGTCTTTATTCCTATTGTTTATATACCTGCACTGTCTAGGTACATTATATACCTGCACTGTCTAGGTACATTGTTTATATACCTGACTCAGCGGGGTATCTACTGGAAGCCAACATAAGAGACGTGTATTGGAGAACATAATACCAGGATAAAGATATATTTTTTCTTACAGGTTGACGACAGACAGACAGTAGACAAAACAACGATGAAAGACCTGGTGGTGGTGATAATGGTGGGGGTTACAGTGTTCTCCTGTCAACCAACAAATGGAGCCAACCTGGTACGTGTAATAGAGGAAACGCCATTAGTATTAAGAGTCTTATAGTGAACACCCATTAACTTATTGACACTGAAGCCAAGTGGTAGGAGACCCATTAGCCAAGAGGGTCATTATACTGTACACTAATAAGCATTCCTCCTGACCCTGTAGTTCACCGCCTTCTCTCGGAGTTTCGGCCCGACGGAACCAGTGACTTTTACTACAGTCCGCCGTGCTGGGGTGAGTACTTACCCCTTAGTAGTCACCCTTTACCCTTTAATAGTCACCCTTTAGCCCTTAGTCACCCCTTACCCTTTAGTCGACACCCATAGCCCCTTAGCAGCCATTATCCCTTCACTTGTAATTATTTCACCTACCTTCTCTACCACGCCTCTACAGAATTTGCCAAATTTTAGAATGAAATAAAATATTGGTTTGGTTAGGTCACGTCACTTTACTGTTATTCTATTGGCTAAGATAATTATAGGACTGTAGTTATTATTATTAGTAGTAGTATTGCTATTATTATTACTACTACCATCTTTATTACTATTATTAACAGTAGTAGTACCAGTAATAATAATAATTACCTATCATCCAATTAATATCTCACCTGCACAATAATGAACTCTGGACAGGATTACGAAGAGAGACTGTACCAAGCTAAATTCTGGGCGTGTACAGAGCACCATGGAGCACAGTACACCATCGATGACAAATTGGAGTTGTTCTATCGCCTCTTTGCCTACATTGGTGGCAAGAATTCAAAGGGTGGGTATAGTACAGTACAGTAGTTGGTGGGTCCTGGTAGGGTGTCTGATGTGAATGCCAGTCTTGTTTGGTTTTTAGTTGTCAGCATTAATTGGTGTGGTTAGTATCAGCATTAATTGGTTTTGATATGTAGTGTTTACCAAAGTTAATCAAATGTTCTTGTTTACATAGCTAATCAAATGTTCTTATTTACAGAGCTGATCAAATATATATGTTTACAGAGCTAATCACATTTTCCACCTTCAGGAGAAAAACTGGTGCTGGGGATTCCTGTATCAATAGAGCACAACATTAGTGACGAAGAACACATTTTCAACGCCTGCTTCTTCATCCCAGAGGCTGCCCAGGCTGACCCACCTACACCCACTGATCCCAATGTCCATATAACACTTCGCCCTCAGATGACCATCCTCACCAGGTGGGGATCAACAGGTTAATTGGGGCTAAGTTATAATGGGGCTTAGTTGTAATGGGTCCCAGTTTTACCATACCAGAATAAGTGCATTTGGGAATCAATCCAACTGGGGCCAGGACGTGATCAAATGGGTAATGGTACGAGAAACGCTTAACATCTTCGTAAAATAAAAGGAGTTCCCATATCCCCCTTGAAGTCTTCATGGTTCAATTGTGACAGATAAATAACTAACAAACCTCCTCAGTGATCCTGTTTTGAGATTAACTACCTGGACATATTTATCATCACCAGGAACCTAAAGAGTCTTACCTATTGACCATAGTGTTTCTCTTCTTTCCTCCACAGACGCCTTGGGGGGTACGCTACAGACGAGACTACCTGGAACACAGAGACGGAGAAACTAACAAGCATTATAACAGCAGCTGGTGAACATGTTATTCCCAACCACGTCTTCTGGTTAGTATCAAAGCCTTCAATCTTTATTCTTTTGTCCTTATAGATCCCTCGGTATTTAATATATTTCTTTGTACTTACAGATCTCAAAAATCTCATTACGCTGTATTAACTATTAACCATCTTATTTCAGGAACGCCTACGACCCTCCCTTCAAATTCTGGAATCGTAGGAATGAAGTTTGGTTGGTGAAGGAATAACAATGGACCTATGCAAGAATTCTGGAATACCTGGAATATACAAAGACTCCACTGGTACAGGGGATAATGCGGGTATCTTTCATACTATGTCCTGGGGAAGGTGTTATCCAGTGTGACAATTATCAATAATGGCAGGTTTTATCCAGATCATAACAGATTAAAAAAAAAAAAGTAATATTGAATAGACTATAGTTAAGTGGTAGTTATAGTTAGCCAAGTGAGTAATGATGTTAGTCAATTATGAGAGAAAATACAATGGGTTGTCAAAATCATACGTTGTTATATTGTCAGATTATCGAGATATTTTGGGGTCATATGCATCCTGAGGTATAGTTTGTAATGCTGTCTCCCCCAAATCCAGCTCCATTGTTTTGAAATATGATGAATACTTTCCATGACTGAAACTAAGAATCTGCCCTACTAATTTACTCATGTTAAAAGTATACAAACAACAAAAGAGCATCAACATTACACTGAGAGACTACTGTAACTTTATACCTCCACTAAACAATGAGACTACCTTAACTAGACACCCTCAGTGAAGGTATCTAGTTAAGGTCGAGTCTTGAGTGTAATTCTAAAGCCTTTTTTGGGAATTACCTGTAACTTTTGTATTCTATCACGTCAGCCAGTTGACTCGAGGAACCCGTTTAGCTGTACAATACATGTTCTAATAACAATGAGAAAATATAACCTAACTATCTTTGAGATTCTTGGCCCATAAATTTCAACAAAACCCACATAAATTTTTATGAACATATAATATTACTTTTGGTCAAATATATAAGAAACTACTGGACCGATTTTTAATTTAAACATGTTCGTTACCAGTTAATAATGAGGTCCCTAAATACTAACACACAAGGTAAAGCAGTTGGTTGATTAGCCTCATGAGGGTTGACTTCAACGGCCCTCATGATAGCCTTCAAATCGTAGTCCCAGTAGATCTGTTCATCTAGCCACCTCAGTAGGGCACTGGGCTGCCTTTGCTATCATGGAGAACTTGCATCCAGCACCATTAGTGGCAGCCTGGACCCTCCCTCCTCATTCTAAGCATCTGGCCCCTACACCCCATCCTTTAAGATGAACAATGTGAAGTAATTTTTCCCCTGCATACATGTTTTTAATTGCTAAATACGCATTTACCGTTTACTGTACAATCTAGCCCTGGCCCCACACCAGAGCACCTATGGATGTGAGGTAGGTGTTGTATCCTCTTCCCCACTACTGTAGTCTCCTTCACTAGTGCGTTTACAGGGCCTCGTCATATTAACGCTCCACTAACCATTACAATGAGATATTTATTTTAAGGTTTTACTTTGATTCCATAGTATGTTTACTATTGCAATTATTCTTGTCTACTGTAAACACACACAAGGCTGCCATACTGCACAAATCTTGACAAGCCCCAGTAAATGGGTTTGAACAAGTAACAAAAATAAATGCAGGTTTAGCCATGTACTGTACACCAGACAACTACCTAGCTCAGCACAATAGTCACCACACTTGGCTTTTCAAAGTACAAGAACTCACCAACCATTGACTACAAAGCTCATCACCTCCATAGTGGGTTCTCAAAAGACTGGGATTAATCATCACATCAATTTCTGAAAGCATTGTTAAAGTCCCCTTCACAACATACAGTACACACACATTGCTCAGTTCACCAATATGGGAGGACTCTTCAAAACCAGTGTAAAGTTTTTGAGGTTCCGACCTAACAAACTTTGAACAATATTGTATGGCAGGTAAGTACTATATGTCATTTTACTCAACAAATCCCATTTTATGCTAAGCTCAACAATGTAAAGTTAATGGTTTGTGCCACACCTAAGAACTGTACACATGAGTATTCCCATATTAAAATACCAACTGAACTTTATGCTTCAGTCCACAGCCAAACACCCATCTTGTATAACATAAGCAGCCATGGGGGGTTAGAGATGACTCGACCAAAATCATGCTTCAAGATACTAGGTTTAGCTTCATACACATTTAATTGTGTATCTATAAAACACCACAAAATAATCTGGTTTCAATAAGAAATTTAATGTACTTACAGACTATCTCTATTTTTTCCCCCATAATCTCATCTAAGTTGGTTGAATCATCCATTTTACCCCGAGTGCCTCATATAAACCCAGAAAAGTCCCTCATTCCTATGGTGGCTGTCATTCACCTCAAGGTCTCTTCAAAACACCCTTCTTGTTTCACCCACTTCACTGTCTCTCCTCACCTGAACCACAAACCTCAAGATTAACTCATGAACCCAAAGCAAGAGATTCATTACTCTAGGTGATTCGGATTCACGAGTCTGAATCCCGGGGTTCGTGGTTCAGAAGGAGAGGTGCCAGGAGTTGTATGGGTGAGTGTACAGTAACATAGATAAAAATAAATATACATTATACTATTGTGGATTAAATAAAACTCATTTCTTCACCATTCCATTTATACTGATGCACCACTACTTTTAACAACACAGTGAATACTAGGGTAAGGCGGAGGCGTTAACAGCTGTGGGACCCGGTGACCTGCATCCCTCCACGTCAACAGCATTAAAAACATTCGAGTTAAAAATTATCCATTAACTTTTAAGATCCCTATCGTAAAAATCCCTACAACGGAGTTTTAATACCGTGTACCAATTCCAATCCCCCTCTAATTCTCATCCCAGAAAATCCCCCTTTACTTAATAATCAAAGAGCAGTGATTCCCTGAGCACAAAATTATTATTGGTGGAAGGGATTACATCACTTGTGGGGCCCCAGCTGTCCCCCCCCCCTCTTACTCCCTCACCACAGCGATAGGAAATGCGACATGGCTGATTTTCTCGTAACACCTGCGTGACGTGAATCCTCCCAAGTCGTAGTCGAATTACGTTACACACAATGCAAATGGAGCCAACTCGGAGAAATTCTTTTCACAAATAGAACTAAAAGTTATAAAAACACTTGACCTGTCTCTGTTGACATCTTTGATTTAATTCACAGGAAGACTTTTACAGAAAATAATGTACCATGGTCGACAGGCGTTTAAAACAAACAATCCCCGCAATCAGGGTAAAATAAACCTTTATCCCTTTTTTTAAATGAATTTTGGCATTTTCCTAAGAACAATCGTGAAAATAAAACATTGGCTCGAATATTTTCACAACTCGATAAATTGTAAAAAACACAAACATGGGAGAACTCTTTTTGGCCAGATCACCCGACACCTTTGCATCTCGAGAAAAAAATAAAATAAAAATTAAACCGACATCTGTTGTTGGATACCTACGTTATCTTACAAAATTCTTTATAAAAGAGTACAAGTTACACAGCTCGAGGAAAGATTTATGAGGTAGCCGTCGGGGGGTCGCCGTATCTACGTCTCTGCCCGCAAGTGAAATGGAATTCTTAATGTACAAACAAAGTTACTTGGGTACTAATACAGTTATAAGTATTTAGTATAAAAGAGATAACAATAGATCCTTATAGCCTGTCAGGTTATTCAAAATCCTAGACACAAAAACTCGCAACTGCTAAAAAGCCCTGGCAAACCTTAACTGTAGTATGTGTGGCGACCGTGTCAGTGACTCCAACAAACAATAACACTACCATACTTCACATACCGAGGCCGAGTCGACGGGTAATAACAATAAATACTCGGGCGCCGACGCGACATCCCGTCCGCCGGCCGGTTGCCCGGGACGGGACGGACACCGCGCCGACGCCCACGACCGTAATAACTATCAAAATAATAAAGATCTAATGGAATACGCCACGAGAGTCCCTAACCTACGGCGAAACAAGCGGAAAGAGACGTGTTAAAAAATTACAGGATGTACGTGTGTAAAGAAAGGGTGAGACAGAACTGCGCCAAGTGATATAAACAAAAAAATAAATCTTCCTATGTACAATATATTACAATGAATGTATGGCAACAAGGTAGTCCTCTGAGGGTGCACAATAACCACAGACTACAATAACCACCAACAAGCCCTATCAAAAGAGAATCCTACCACTCAAGCCTAGATTTGTGCAAAGATCATATCACAATGGATTTACAAATCAGGATTTACGTCTATCACAGCAAAAACCAACAATTTGTACAAGAAAACATGGTCGGGCAGAGGGGACCCACCGACGGGTCTACGCAACAGTGGAGAGACGACTCCGCCGCGTTCTTCTTCAACGGACGCACTCGTAGGCTCGGGGTTAACAACCCGGGAGGTTTCCTCGCTCGTCTCAAAACATCATTAAAAATTGATATCAACAACAATATTTGTACTAGAACATCAGCAAATGAGCAAAATATAGGATAAAATTAACCTAACTCCTAATAACATCTGAAATAAAAATAGTATAAGACTGTATTATATCCCTAACATATTAATGACTAGTTAAAACCATAACTATTAAACTCTTATCATCACTGAGCACGATCAGAAACTAAGAGAACACCCGCATTAAAATAAATTCGTAAAACACGAATTCGTGGAGAAGAATCAATCATCCAAAGATACAGCTGTCATACACACACCCTCCATCCACTCAACAGAGTGAACAATAAATTAAATAATAAAATTAACTGTACAACGCCATTAGTGACAACTCCATATTATGAACATCCACCTGAATGATTAAACATTAAAATGATGTTAATAAAGGTGAAGGTGACACTAGTGCCGGTGTACAGACTGACTGAGCACCCACCCGGCTCCTAACTTTTACCTAGCCATAGCTCGTGTCTCTGACCACTCCATCCCTCCCTACTCCTACGACCTATCCTGAACCTATCCGCAATATTTGAGAGACGCTCTGATAATGGTCTCCGGCGTCCGCGGCGCTTCGACCTAACAATTTTCCTAGCCGCTAGTTAAGAGGCGCCGGGACGCCCGGAACGGCGACATCCTAACTGCCAAATGACACGATAATCAGCCTAGCAAATTTTCCTATCCTGTCGCATAGTCATTTGACTGGGCCTATCACAAATGAGAATCATATTGCAAGGTGATAAAATGGATAGAAACTTTCCTTCTTATTGCAGCAAACACCTCCATCTCTCGCCCGAGACACACGCAGTGCCGGCTCTACCAGATCCCCTCGAGCCTCAACCCCGAGCCGTAAATAAGATGCATAGGTGTGCGTGACGCCATCGCTCGGCCGTTAGTAAATGCCGGTTTGACTCCGCTCGGAGCGGACGCGTCCGGAACTCCGGAGACGTCCCTCCGAGCACACCAGCCCATGTCATTTTTCAGTTAATGGCGCAACTATCAACACTGGCATGCAATGTGTTCACAGAGAGCGAACAAATAAACCAATTGACTGTCAGGGGAATATTACAACTTTAAGGCACAGTCTAGGACAAAACAGACAGAGCTCCAAAAAGGGTGACAAACTTCATCCTTATTACCAATCTAAGTTTAGGATCATACCAAAATAATGCTCAAAAAACCATGGCAGCTATACAATATAAGCAGCCAAGATAGGAAGAGAAAAATAATTCCTTTTTTTTTCCCTATCACAAGGAAATCATCAGAACATCAGAAGGTTGTATTTCATGATTTTACAATTTTGGGCAGCTAGAATTGGGCAAGATTGGGGCTACACCAAGATCATAGTTATACACTAAATGGTTATGCATGCATTTTGTTGATACTCCCAAGAAGGTTCCAACATCACTGCTAAAACTCTCTCTCAGGGCCTGAAACGTTTGGAGAGACACAACACACAAGGTTGGTAACTAAATATATATATAGGCAAGACTGTATATATACCACAACAGAAAGATAATATCTGGGGAGGAATTTGAGGAAAGAAAGGGAGAGGGGAGGAGAGATGAAAAAATCAAACATACTTGGAGGGAGGGAGGGAGAGAGAGAGGGGGGAAAGGAAATAATCATCAAGAACTTTAAATACCAATAAAGGTACAAAACAAGATAAAAGTTTTCAGGCCCCGCTGCTCGTGGTCAGGGGCCCCTCAAAGGCTCGACCGGGCCCCGAGCAGTGAGAGGAGGAAGCAGCAGTGACACAGTTTATCTCTTCATAATGGTAGGCAAAAGTCCATCCGTCGCCGCCGTACACGACCCGACCAGACTCCAAACAGTTAGGGGGAGGGGAGGCAAAGTTTGGGACAGTGTTATCCATTCCTATACAGTGGACCAAAATGTTTGTTTATTGAAATGACTCCGATCGCTCGATGAATTGGTCGTTTTTTGACGGTTGGTTTTCATTTCTACGTGGTAATTTTTTTTTTATATATGTAAACAAATTTGGGTAATCGGGAAATGTTCATCAATAATGAAAGTTTATAAAAGTTTTAAAATGTTAAGAGAAACTAATATCTTATCCCAAACCTTTCACAAATTTCTCCCTTCTACAACTTAATATTTCTGCAAAATAGATCATGCATTGGAGCGGCTGGTGGACGCGTCGGAGAGTAAACGTCGCTGCCGTCGGTAGTCCCGTCCGAACATTGAAACCAGGAGCAGATCGCCTCAAAATCAGACAAATATTCTTCCATAGAGACTCGGGTTAATAGATTCATTTTTTTTGTTTAATCGCAAATATATTCGAACGTTCCCGTACCGTGCTCGTACGTTACGCGACCCAACTCCGGTTTAAATGGCTTCGCGGGGACGATCGACGGGAGGGGCATCGTCTCCCCCGACGTACGGCGGGCGAGGACGCGGAATCTCTAGCTCTTTCTCGTTGCCCGGTACCCGACTAACAAATCACCGATACATATGCAAGTAGTACTTATATGACATACTGAGGGCATGCAAGAAACACTGCAATTAACAACACTACTATGACAATATTTCGCCTACAGATACACCAAACAAACTGCTACCAGGCTCGACGCCGACAGTCACAGCACGGTGATCTCGGAGGTTTGCTACGATCCAAATACACATGGATGCACCTACAGAAAAAAAAATATTATAATAAAAAAAAGAGATATATATCGTTATTACCTATTAGCCCGTGCTCTGACTGCCAACTCGACCCCTACAGAATTTACGGTTTTCAAAACGTTGAACCCAGAAACTTTGAAGATGCCCCATAAGGATATATTATTTTTCTTATTTTTTGCCCCCGATGGTTCCTGCTTCTCAAAACAGAGAAAAATCAGAATGAACCAATAAAAAAAAAAAAAAATGCCCCTTAGTATTAGCCCATAGCCTATATAGTTTCATATACTTTTAAAATATGATATCTTGTTCAGCCCCCGTACCAAGAACCAAAGAGTTTTGTGTGTATACAAAGTTGATATGTTTATCTCTGGAAGGTGACTTAAATGTGAAAATGGTCTGGAGAAATGCTGCATATAACTCTCTTTGGCTCTTAAACCTAATAATTTTGTATTGTGTTGGGTTTAAAATGTGTGTGACCCTAACCCCCCCCCCCTCTAGTACAGGTAAGGTCCCCCTGTTCTATAAATAATACTAACATTATTTTCAGCCACCCACAACATGCCCCACTCATAAACATCTATTGCACAGCATGTATCCCACCTATCAATGATTCAAATGTAGAGACTTTCAGAGAAAAAAGTGATATTTAACTTACTTTGCATAACAGTACAAAAATCAAAGAAATCACTATGATCACAGTCGTTTCCATTAAGTCCTATGTGTGCACTGGGAAAACAAGTTGTGGTTTACCCTTCGGCAACACGACCCCCACGAGGGAAAGCATAAGTGTCTGCGGCACTGTCAAAAAACTGCAAGTGACTAAGCGACTTGACTGCTGATATGAACCCTTTGGCTGGATCCTGTTACTGAAGGTTAAACCACTAAGGCACAGTATAGCCACCAGCCTGAGCACCACTCAAGCCTACTGAAGCCGCTTCTCACTACGCCAGAGACATCGCGCCGGACCGCATAAAGAATAATAGAGACGTCTTAAACGCCGTATTGAGTCTTTACGGATGCGGTGACCGGTGACGTCGCCGGCCTAGCCGTCACCGCTGATAATCTACAATTAAATCGGGGTCGTCTGCCGTTCATACAGACACCCGAGCAAAGTCAAAGTAGCACCATATTGGGGTAGAGTTTTGGTTATTCCAACACACAAGCGACAGTAGAAGCCCCAGGCTGGTAGAATTACTGTTGAGAGGCACACGCTACTTCACACTCCCTCTATCACTCCTGCCACCCTGCAGTAGGAATCTTGCCCTCACTGCTTACATGGGGATAAACAAGATAAAATAAAAATCATTAATACATGACCTAAACAGCAATGACTTGTGAGAAAATATGGTCATGGATACCATGATTGGCACAAGGAAAGACTTATTACAGTACGTGATCATGTAGAAAATAAAAGCTTCCACGTATTTACATATCTTACATAATACAGACCATCGCCACCTGCACAAGAGGTGACGTGGTGCGTGGCAGGAGTGCATAGACCGAGTGGAGCAGCCTCTATGTGTTACACCCACGCGCCCGTCCGCCTCCACGTCCGGGTAGGGCGAGGCCGGCAGACGGGCGCGTGGGTGGGCGTTGATGTTCTGTGCTGGGGACTAAGCCTCCCACCCGGAGTCCCTCCCACCAGGGGCTGACCACCCCCCTCCCTCCGCGTCCCTCCCACCCAGTCCGCGAAGTCCCTCCCTCGACGATGCGCGCGGCAGCCACCTCTAGCTAGCACCCACTTCTTCCTTGCCCCGGCCACGCCTGCCTGGTGGTCCGGTTAATTATTCGCCAGCGTTCTTCGTAGCGCGACAACACCGTACGGCAGGCGGGCGGGCAGGCGGGCAAGCTGAGGAGAGTGGCTGAGAGAAGAAGTTAACCCCTCCCCCCACCCAGGCTCGCAGGGTCCGACCATTTGGGGATACCTGGGCCTCCTAACTGCATACACCACAGAGCTCGGCCAGGACTCTAATACCCTCATCCTGGGCTCTGATCTCCACATGATTGCAGCACCACCTGTTGAACAAACAAAACTGTCAGTAATAACACCAAACTGATAAACCTACCATAACCTACTTAACAAACAGTCCCATCAGTTGGAACAGAAATTTATGACTTGTTAATCCTATGAAGATAATGGATTAAACCTTTGAGGAAGATGGATTAAACCCTAACAATAATAATCTGACAAGTATAAAAAATTCCTGGTAATAAGGTAAGCTGAGTGTGTCCTGTGCTGGTGCCATTAAACCGTGATACAGCAAGTCTCTGTACCCATGTATTAGTGACTACAGCCATTAACAACCCAGAGGTACAGTAACACACACACAGAGGTACAGTTCAAACCACACTCCACCCTAAACCAAACACTAAAACGTAAACCACACACACCCTAAACCAAACACTACCCTAAACCACACCACCCTAAACCAAACTACACCCTAAACCACACACCACCCTAAACCACACACTACCCTATACCACTAAACTAAACCCTAACCACACTCCGTACCCTAAAACTGTAAACCACACAACACCCTAAACCAAACACTACCCTAACCACACCACCCTAAACCACACACCACCCTAAACCACACACCACCCTAAACCAAAAACAGACGATGAAATAATCTCTCGTCGCTGACCGGTCTTAGAGCCATACCTGCTTCACACTCCGTAATGCTGAGTCAAGCGTTCCTTCAGTGGAGGCGGGAACTGTTCCGTAAAGCGCTTCCAGTTCTCCTCTCCCACCTGTTCCTTGAAACAGTGGAGTATCTGCAGGAACAAATAACATGATAGGAGGTGGAGATAACATGATAGGTGGGGAGGTAACATGATAGGTGGTAGAGACAACACGTGGCCCATGGTCATATACCATGACTATTACTTCAGGGTTATACTCCAGAGATAAAGGTGTATTGGGTGTGTGTGTGTGTGTGTGCAACATAACGTGGAGGCGGGGGCAACTGACCTTATGGAACATTTCTTTAAGGTCTTGCTTGGGGTTGATCCAGGAGGCTATGGCATCACAGAAGAATATGAAGTCCTCCACTACACCCCCGGGGTTGACGCTGATCATGTTACACACCCCGCGGAACGCCGAGTCCTTCTCCTCGTTGTCTCGGATGTTGCGCAAGGAGATGCACCTGCACGACGAGCCGACCAGTGACGGGAATGGTCGCCGACGAAGGGGTGGGGGAGGGGAGGGGAGGAGAGGAGAGAGAGGAGAGAAGAGAGAGAGAGAAAGGGTCGGTTATGGGCGTCTCAAGTTGCCGTTGACTACGTACTAACACACAGGAAGGGCCTCCGCTCAAACCTCCGTGGACAGTGTTTTAACAAGATGTCTTCCCCGGTCACGTGTACTAAGGGCTACTAAATAAAAAAGAGCTCAACAAACAAGCCTCTCTACTGCAACTACATTTAAGTCCAATGAGGTTTGTATGGAAGAAAAATATAAGCCTACAGGTAACAAAACTTCTGAGAAATATATTGGGACACTGACAGACATTGCTAATCTGAAACCATTAAAAATCAACAGAATTTTGTTTCGTGCTAAAGACAAAGCACGGGTGGGGATGGTTAGGGAGGGGAGAGAGGATGGGGGCACTAGATGATGAGCAACAAGCACGTGATTCCAAACTAGGATGGGGAGGCAGCGGCATATTGTACAGTGACAAAACACCGTAAAGCAATAATAGGGTAAACAAATTCAGTGCCTTCGGGGAAAACCAATTTAACTAAAAATATAAATGGAGGGAGAGCTAAAATAATAATAATAATAATAATAATAATGATAATAATAATAATGATAATAATTTCTTAATTACTGCCAATGAAAGAAGCTGTAAAAAATAATTAATTAATCAAATACTTAGCAACGTCCATACACGCACACACACACTCACTCAGTCAAGTAGTGGGGAGGTGACGTGACAAACATCCTTGGCCAAAGACTTTACAGTAAGAGCACTAGTGGAGGCAGGTGTTAATGGGGCGAGTGCTGCAGAACCATACAGCACAGTGCAGTAGTTGGGTGCTACAACAACACTGTCTGGACACTCAAATGCAGGAACAACTAACAAGTGGTGAGTCGGGCCTTACTGGGAACACTGTACACACAACAGTTGTGAAGTAACCAACAACATGATGGATCAGTCATAACCACAACTGCTTCCCACTCAGTCATAACCACTGCAGCACAACTGCTTCCCACTCAGTCATAACCACTGCTGCAAAACTGCTTCCCACTCAGTCATAACCACTGCAGCACAACTGCTTCCCACTCGGTCATGACCACTGCAGCACAACTGCTTCCCACTCGGTCATAACCACTGCAGCACAACTGCTTCCCACTCAGTCATAACCACTGCTGCAAAACTGCTTCCCACTCAGTCATAACCACTGCTGCAAAACTGCTTCCCACTCAGTCATAACCACTGCAGCACAACTGCTTCCCACTCAGTCATAACCACTGCTGCAAAACTGCTTCCCACTCAGTCATAACCACTGCAGCACAACTGCTTGAGTCTTCTTGTGCGGATTCATCCCTAGATGCTCAACATACACAGATGCATGCTTACACAGTGTGCACATGTACCTCACCAAACAAGTATGAACATGTGTGTACATAAGAGCATGTACACCAATACATGCATGCACAAACATACTACACACATGTGAACAAGTGTGATTGAGCGGTCACTGACACACACACGCACACAACAGAAGCACGTATACAAACACACCAAATTAAAACAAAATTCAATGAAAAGTGAACTTAAAAACTAAGGTTTAATTCTACATTTTAAACTATTTTCATCTAAAAGACAAAAACACATAAGCTATATTACTAGCAACAAAATGTACCTAACCTGGGCGCACGGGTTCACTCAACTAAATATATAAATCACAAATTCTAAAAACTTCATGCTAAAGAAAACGATTTGGCCAAAAATAATGTAAGTGAGGTTGTAGTGAACCATCAACCCAGGGTAGGTAGGTGGGTGTTATTAAACCCACACTCTTTATGGCAAATATTTAAAGCTTACTAGACTGTGGGAGCCTCACTAAAGCACCACATGTGATACAACCCAAGAGGAGGAGGGCGCTTCATCTCTGCTTAACTCTGTGCTGTACCAAGGGAGACTATCTTGACCACAGCTTAACTCTCAGCTGTGCCAAGGGAGACTATCTTGACCACAGCTTAACTCTCAGCTGTGCCAAGGGAGACTATCTTGACCACAGCTTAACTCTCAGCTGTGCCAAGGGAGACTACCTTGACCACAGCTTAACTCTCAGCTGTGCCAAGGAAGACTATCTTGACCACAGCTTAACTCTGTGCTGTACCAAGGGAGACTAGCTTGACCACAGCTTAACCAAGGGAGACTATCTTGACCACAGCTTAACTCTCAGCTGTGCCAAGGGAGACTAGCTTGACCACAGCTTAATCAAGCGAGACTATCTTGACCACAGCTTAACTTTGTATTGTATAAGAAAAAATGCATTAATTTCAACCTTTTTTTTTAAGCTGTCATCAAGAAAGTCACCTTTAGATCTCATCAGATTCCCTCAGTAGGTGGCAAGACTCGCTTTATTTTTTGCAACAGCCCAGAGGAAATGAAACGCAAGTTAAAATGGAAGAATATCACGTCAAAACACAAGCAAGATTCTTCCTCTTAATGTGCGTTTCACCTCCGAGATCGACCATCACGTCAAGAGTAAATCCTTCCCGTTACACAAAACCAAAACAAGTATCTTTACAAGTTCGTGTCGGGCAACAGGACACGGTGGACGAAGGATTACGACGACACTACCGCGAGGACGGGAGCCGCAGCGTTCAATTTGAAATTCCTCGGACACCTCGGTAAAGATACTGTTTTGGCCGTGCGTACGACCGCCCCAGAACCTTGGCACCCACGAGGGGGGGAATGAGCGACACTGTGAGGCCGAGTAAGCCAGATGAGAGGCAACAGCAGCTACCCTTCCTCCTCTAGTGTTGTAGCCACATCAAGAACCAAAATGAATGACTGATACTAATGTTAATATAACATGTGTAAAAAGATTCACTAAATATACAACAACTTTAGCAAAAAATAGATATATAAAGAGCTTAAGTGTTACAGTGAAGAGGCATTGATTAAAAAAAAATAATAATAATTAAAAAAAAAATAATATAGTACTAGAAACATTACTGTGGAGATAATGCTAAATGGAAGTCAAATATACAACTGAAACTGAGGGTTTACACACCACTGCCTGATAAACTGTTGCAACAGGGGGGCCACTTCATTGGGGCACACATAGCCTAGGCGTCCAATTGTAATGGCTAAAGAGCACAGCAACACGCAGGAAAAAAGAAAAGGAGAAAGAAAACCATGACATAATAATAACAAACCCATGGGGAGATTGGTAACAATAACAATAATAAGAATAATAATAAGAATAATAATAATAATAATAATAATAATAATAATAAAATAACTCAGTGACACAAGGCAGTAATGATATACAAAATTACCAATTACTGATGAATCAAAACAACAATATGCTATTATATATAAACTGGTCTGACGATTAAACCTTAATTAAGTGGACATATTAGACTCCCTACAAAAAGAGGCTGTTGACAAACTTAAAAATTAATATCATCCTCAAATTAGTGAAATAGGTGAATCAATACTCAAGTGCTAGACAGGTCAGGCTAACTACCAACAGGTCCTGTGTTCGGTAGAGTTTAACCACCACTAAACCTAAGGGATCAGAGGGCCTTTGGGAGAGACAGCTACCCTCTCCCAAATTAAGTACTGTACACAAAAAATAATCTTATAATCAGAGGTAAACTCATTACTAGAATAAGTATCTATACAGGCAAAACATATCACTTTAATGTGTCAAAATTACCTCGTACCTAAGAGAGAAACCCTGAACTGGGACGCCGCCTCGGCAAGTTAGCGACCGTGCCGAGAGAAGCATTTGACGTGGTGAATAGGGTTAGTTTATTGTGTCTCTTAAGAGCAGTACAGAACCTTTACCACTACAGTAGGTATAAAGAACAGTACAGAACCTTTACCACTACAGCAGGTATAAAGAACAGTACAGAACCTTTACCACTACAGCAGGTATAAAGAACAGTACAGAACCTTTACCACTACAGCAGGTATAAAGAACAGTACTGAACCTTTACCACTACAGCAGGTATAAAGAACAGAACAGAACCTTTACCACTACAGCAGGTATAAAGAACAGTACAGAACCTTTACCACTACAGCAGGTATAAAGAACAGTACAGAACCTTTACCACTACAGGTATAAAGAACAGTACAGAACCTTTACCACTACAGCAGGTATAAAGAACAGTACAGAACCTTTACCACTACAGCAGGTATAAAGAACAGTACAGAACCTTTACCACTACAGCAGGTATAAAGAACAGTACAGAACCTTTACCACTACAGCAGGTATAAAGAACAGTACAGAACCTTTACCACTACAGCAGGTATAAAGAACAGTACAGAACCTTTACCACTACAGCAGGTATAAAGAACAGTACAGAACCTTTACCACTACAGCAGGTATAAAGAACAGTACAGAACCTTTACCACTACAGCAGGTATAAAGAACAGTACAGAACCTTTACCACTACAGCAGGTATAAAGAACAGTACAGAACCTTTACCACTACAGCAGGTATAAAGAACAGTACAGAACCTTTACCACTACAGCAGGTATAAAGAACAGAACAGAACCTTTACCACTACAGCAGGTATAAAGAACAGTACAGAACCTTTACCACTACAGCAGGTATAAAGAACAGTACAGAACCTTTACCACTACAGCAGGTATAAAGAACAGAACAGAACCTTTACCACTACAGCAGGTATAAAGAACAGTACAGAACCTTTACCACTACAGCAGGTATAAAGAACAGTACAGAACCTTTACCACTACAGCAGGTATAAAGAACAGTACAGAACCTTTACCACTACAGCAGGTATAAAGAACAGTACAGAACCTTTACCACTACAGCAGGTATAAAGAACAGTACAGAACCTTTACCACTACAGCAGGTATAAAGAACAGTACAGAACCTTTACCACTACAGCAGGTATAAAGAACAGTACAGAACCTTTACCACTACAGCAGGTATAAAGAACAGTACAGAACCTTTACCACTACAGCAGGTATAAAGAACAGTACAGAACCTTTACCACTACAGCAGGTATAAAGAACAGAACAGAACCTTTACCACTACAGCAGGTATAAAGAACAGTACAGAACCTTTACCACTACAGCAGGTATAAAGAACAGTACAGAACCTTTACCACTACAGCAGGTATAAAGAACAGAACAGAACCTTTACCACTACAGCAGGTATAAAGAACAGTACAGAACCTTTACCACTACAGCAGGTATAAAGAACAGTACAGAACCTTTACCACTACAGCAGGTATAAAGAACAGTACAGAACCTTTACCACTACAGCAGGTATAAAGAACAGTACAGAACCTTTACCACTACAGCAGGTATAAAGAACAGTACAGAACCTTTACCACTACAGCAGGTATAAAGAACAGTACAGAACCTTTACCACTACAGCAGGTATAAAGAACAGTACAGAACCTTTACCACTACAGCAGGTATAAAGAACAGTACAGAACCTTTACCACTACAGCAGGTATAAAGAACAGTACAGAACCTTTACCACTACAGCAGGTATAAAGAACAGTACAGAACCTTTACCACTACAGCAGGTATAAAGAACAGTCCAGAACCTTTACCACTACAGCAGGTATAAAGAACAGTACAGGACCTTTACCACTACAGCAGGTATAAAGAACAGTACAGAACCTTTACCACTACAGCAGGGTGGCTGGGTCATAAAGTGAGACGCAACACATTACTCTCTCTTAGTTAACTTCAATACCATTCAAGTTTTCTCTCTACACATTAGTGGGAGACAGGATAAGGTAGAGCAGCAACAGGATGCAGGTAAAACAGCAACTAGTTAATACTGATTGGGCTGGTGTGGGCCAAAGTATTAACCCCTTTTTTAAACACAATAGCAAATTTGGATGTATAACACCGCACGTTAAGTTATCAAATCTGGCGGTAAAATTCCGTCAGTTGTCTAATCGAGTCGTCGCGTGAAACCGGTCGACGGTACGATTGCGGGTCACACGAGCCCCGTTCGGACGTTCCCGACGTGCTGGAACCCTAAACCAAACCACTCTGACTGGGGGTAGACTGGATCTGGTCTGGTACCCACTCCGTCACTGACGGTTAGGTCGAGTCGGGTCTCGGCACTCCGCGAACTGGTCAGAACTGGAGCTCGTATGACTCGGTCACAGAAAACAAATCCAAATTCCTCAACAGTGTAATTCTAAACCAAATGACATAATTAAAACAAATGAAAGAGGTTACCAGGTGGAGTCAACTGTGCTTCAGCTACTACAACAGGATAATACAAGCAGTATCTATGGTAAGTAAGTTAACAGCTCAGCCCAACCTGCTACAAAATTAACTTGGCTAATTTAATAGAAAATATATATATATATACAGTGAAACCTCTATATAACGAACATCTCTCCCCTATAATCCGGGGGTCATTATCTAACGGACCCTCGATATAGCGAACCGTTAAATAGAGCTTCCACTGTGTACCAAGACTTCATCATCGGCAGGCAATCAAGTGACCAGTTCAGTTCTACCTTGTCCTCTCTCACCCCCTGACCAGTGTTTCAGGCCACGAGGAGGACCCCCGCTGGTTCTTCGCTACGTTACAACTAGTTCTTGGGGCATCGATTAAAAACCTTTACCAGCCTTCTTGGTTATAGGGGGGGGGGTTAGTGGGTCAGAGGTGGGTGGGTGGGTGAAAGTAGAATCAATCGAGTAAGTGAGAGAGAGAGGGAGAATGAGTTACAACTAGTTCTTGGGGCATCGATTAAAACCTTTACCAACCTTCTTGGTTATAATTGGGGGTTAGTGGGTCAGAGGTGGGTGGGTGGGTGAAAGTAAATCATCGGAAGGTAAGTGAGAGAGAGGGAGGAGGGAGGGGGAGGGAAGGAAGGAAAGGAAGGAGAAAGGGGGAGGGAAGGAAGGAAGGAAGGAAAGGAGGGAAGGAAGGAAAAGGGGAAGGAAGGAAAAAGGAAGGAAGGAAAAAGGGAAGGAAGGAAGGGAGGAAGGAAGGAAGGAGGGAAGGAAGGAAGGAGGGAAGGAAGAAGGGGAGGAAGGAAGGAGAAAGGGGAGGAAGGAAGGAAGGGAGGGAGGGAAGGAAGGAAGGGGAGGGAGGGAGGGAGGGGAGGAGGGAGGGAGGGAGGGAGGGGAGGGGAGGGAGGGAGGGAGGGGGAGGGAGGGGAGGGAGGGAGGGAGGGGAGGAGGGGGAGGGAGGGAGGGAGGAGGAGGAAGGAAGGAAATGGAGGGAAGGAAGGAAGGAAATGGAGGGAAGGAAGGAAGGAAAGGGAGGGAAGGAAAGAAGGAAAGGGAGGGAAGGAAGGAAAGGGAGGGAAGGAAGGAAGGAAAGGAAGGAAAGGAAAGGAAAGGAAAGGAAGGGACAAGACCCAACCACAGGAATCTCCCCCATCTAAACTAGAATATCTGACAATAATAAAACTCCATGATTAAAACAGAGAAGGCTGATGACCCGGCAAAGATGCAAGAACACCTAAACAACTCTCTAGGACAACAGAGAGTGACCTTTAAAGACCAAAACACACGTAGTCAATCAACGGGGGGCGTCCTCGTTACCGTATTTGAGTAGCAGACCAAGTGTATCATGAAGCACCTCTAAAAAAACAAAAACAAATAAATATCAATCGTGACTTTCGGCCAAAAAAAACTATTTCAAACGATTCAAAATTGTTTATAATCTTAATTGGGGGCCAGTGAATGACCAATGGGATTAACAATAGTGAATAACATATCTACGTGACCGTCAAGGTATAATAATTCTCCCAAGCCTTATCCCACTAGATGCAGGGTGGCTGGAATTAGGCATAAAAAGATTGTCTCCAGGTTTAATTTTGACTGAGGGTGTGGGTGGTGGGTGGGGGGTGTGAACCAGCGGGTGTGATACAGCCGGGCGTCCGTGGCACAGGTTAACATACATACCTGTGTTCTCCAGCAAGGTCTTGGGCGTGTTAGGTTTGTTAATGATGAAGATCAGGTCGTTCAGGACGAGATTTATATACACACGCATTTCTGGCCCTGAAACAAATACAGATTGGTTAATAACATGTTAGGTGTTTCTTAAGGATCTGCCTCCTACCCCTCTGGAATTAAAGACCTACCCCTCTGGTGTTAAAGACCTACCCCTCTGGAATTAAAGACCTACCCCTCTGGAATTAAAGACCTACCCCTCTGGAATTAAAGACCTACCCCTCTGGAATTAAAGACCTACCCCTCTGGAATTAAAGACCCCTGAAATTTAAGACCTACTCCCTACAATTAAGCACCTACCCCCTCCTGTACCCACAAAATACATAAAAAAAAAACCACAAGACATAATTGAATAAAACGCTCGACCCACCACTAACTACACTATGGACGCCAATCCCTGTCCTACAATAACTACCACAAAACAATCGTGGCTGACTAATGCTAACTGGCTGACAGAACTAACGCTACTTGTCTGACAGAACTAACGCTACTTGTCTGACAGCACTAACGCTACTTGGCCCTAACCAGCTACATACATCTCGCACAGGAACGTTACTCACCTAGTTTAACTGAAATTTCACCTATGGCCCAGGTCGCGTTGTTGCACACTGATATTAACTCAGGGTTCAAGTTCTGACCAAGAATAGGCATAAATTCAGCTGTAAAAAGAGGAAAGATTACGTTAGACAGTGACGAAAAATATTCCTGGAGTAGCGTTAGGTTGTTTTATTGTTCAGTGTAGGAGGAGGATTACTGGGGAGTTGTATTTGAAGGTCTGTTGAGCATATTGGTGTAGGTGGCTGATGTAACACACTATCTTAGACAGACAGACAGACACATACTATCACAAACACAAACACACACACACTTTTAAAATCCTCAGTGTGGTAATAATCTTTTGTCTTTAAATAATTAGAAATTTTAACTAGGGTATAAAACATACATACGAGGATAGTGGTAATAATAGTGATAACACCAATATATTAATCAATCTCTCAAAGAAATAACCATTAAACTAGAAAAAATTGGAAGACTTGATATATATATATATTTCAGTATTAACAGGTCCTTCCCCCCCCTCCCTCCCTACCATAATAATTCACTACCAGAATCACTTCGTAGTTTAAAAAAAAAAAGTTGTTAATATACAGTGAAACCTCCATATAAAGGACTTCTCTCTATACAGGTAACAGATGGGGGTTTCACATCTGACGGACCCTCGATACAAAGGGCTCTCATCTCTATGTAGTTCGTTAAATGGGGGTTTCACATCTAACGGACCCTCGATATAATAGACTTTCATCTCTATACAGTCCTTTAAATAGAGATTTCACCGCACGTAAAAAAAAATAAAAATACCTCGATCTACGTACATATATCAAAAAAAATGATTAAACTCTAAAAATACAAAAAACTAAATCAAAAGACTTCAATCTACTTACATATACAAGGAGCCACATACTGGAAACATGCTTTGGTCAGATCACCGAGTAGAGCAAAGGAGCTTTGTCTAACTTCTGGCATGGGGTCCTGTTAGAAATTATCATTGGGTTAGATTTAGAACTTCTGGAGGGGGGGAGGGAGTTTTCGTTTTGTATTTGTTCTTTAAATTAAACTCTAATGATTAAATAAAACCGTAGCTTCATACTGTGCACCAAAAATAAATTAGGGGAAGGGAGTCATTTCTAAATACAATCAGAGTAGGTATTAGTCGATAGCTAACCAAAATATTAAAAAAAAAAAAAAAAAAAAAATTTAGCCTACGAACGTGTGTAAAAAAAAAACGACGACGACAACGACAATCTTCACTATGAAAGCAACACAATATGTATGTCAATATACCATAACACAGACTAACTCACACCCACTAAAAAAGACCCATTGAAAAAAACAAAAAACCTATATTAAGAAAAAAATTTAATCCATCTGTTTCGTGTGACGGAAATAAATGAATCACTCATGCACTCCCTCACGCAAACTGTTGTACCTGCATGGCCTGATACAGCAGCTGCATGATGTTCGACTGCTGGACCAGCTGCCCCACATGCCCGTTCAGACCCTCCGCTAGTCCCGACAGCAGATCAAGGGACACTATCATGAAGTCCTTATCGGCCGCCTCGAACTGCCCCGGGTTCTGCGCGTGAGCCTGGAGGTCAATAACAACAGTGGATAAAAATTTTGGGAGCTGTATATAACATGTCACTAGGGGCTGTGTATAACATGAAAACACAAGGTGGCAAGAGTACAGTGCAGGTAATCACAGGTAAAGACATGGAAATGTGGAAAATGGCCGTGTAATGCTAACTGCTGACATTTAGGTGTAGGGTCAGGTCAGATAGGCATGAATGGTTTATCTGTAGGTGAAATAACACTAAGTGGGAGGTAAGGGGCTAATGGGTAGGTGGGTGGAAACTTAATGGGCCCTACAAACCATTAGGAGGCACCCTGTACATCTCTCTCTCAAGAAGAACACACACACACACACTACAACTAATGTGTCACTCATGTTACTTGTATATTATTTGTAATTCGTAAGCCATTCCCCAAATATGTAACTGTATATTTTCAGCCTTCTGGCTGCCAAGCTCTTTCAATAAACCGTTAATTATTATTATTATTATTATTATTAATGAGACGCCCTGTATATCTCAAGAACACACACACACACTACACCTAATGAGACACCCTGTACATCTCAAGAAAAAAGACACACCCACCCACCCACCCCCACACAACAGAGTGACTTACCATTGTCTGATTGAGTGTTTGCTCCACTAGGGACACACACCTCTGATACACTGGTCCACAATATGGCAAGAAGCCAGACTGGAGAGCCGTAGCCACACTGGACAGACACTGTGAACACATATTGGTGATAGTTTAACATATATATAAATTAGTAAACTATAAAATTATCACCAGAATACGTTTATATACTTGACCGTGATCGTATATATAAATCAGTGAACCACAAGACACCACCACTACCACAAGACAACACCACCACAATACCTCCAGTAGGGGGAACAAGTCCTTATCCTCGTCCTTGAGTACGTTCCACTTCTCGATCAGAGGAGGCATCAGCATCTGAATGTACTCTTCCTTGTTCAGATAGTTCCCCACCGAGTCCGCTAACGTCCCAATTGCGTCGTACAGTATCAACAGATTTTTGGCCTGGGGACGGGGGAGGGGGACAATGATGTAAGAAATGGGTAGAAATGTTAAGGATAATATAATAAAAAATGAAAAAATCTCAATTATAAGGATAAAAAATGAAAAAATAAATTATGTTCTCAATTATGGAATCCTCTCTACGCATTCTGACTTACCCGTCCTCTCTACCCTGTGCTGAATAAAACCATCTGACGTTACCCAAATATCAAGTGTGTCGTCCAGTAGTGAAGGGGACGAGGTGTGACAAGGTAGACCAAATATTACTGAAAAAATAAGGAGACTCGTTTACTCACCTGATATTTCTTAAAAGCAAAGACTAATGTTTTGAGGATGTCGGCCAGGTAAGGGACTAACTCCGTGCACGCTTCCTCCTCTAGGGTGGCGAAGGCTGAGCACGCTGCCTCCTGCACTCGCTTGTTGCTGTCCAAAACGCATTTCAGGAGCTGGAAAGATGTCGGGAGTTAGGCTCAACTCTCCGAACCTACACACACATATATGGGGATCCCCGACTCACGATCGCCCACCGATACAAACAAGGTTAAACTTTAAACTTACAATATTTTATTTACCCGATGAAATTTTTTTTTACTTTCATTTACTGTATTTTGTCATTCAATTTCTTCTTTTGATTTAAATTAATTAACTTTACATGTATATAATGACTTAAGCTCTGATGTAGTGGGACTTTAAACATTGTTCTACAAGTACAGTATGAACATAGGTAGTATGTGGTCCAACTTAATGATGTCCTCATAATGGAACCTGCTCATAATCCAGGGACCCCTGTACTAACTAATCCAAGGGGTCCATCACAGTCACTCACAGAACAAACCAAAGACTGTAGTTCTCATCTTACAACCCCCAGCAGACAATACCCTACTACGGTAAAATACTACTACTCGTTACACTATAAACACCAAAACATCACTAATTCATTATCCCCGAGGCTTCTAACCCATTGGCATTACCGACCAACAAATTGCCGTGTGGGGAAAAAAAATACCGAATCCTCAAAATCTAGAGCATTCGGGTTAACCAATAAGTGACGTTTTATCTCCACTACTACTACTACTACCACACAAAACAACAACTCTACAATACACAAAAGAATACAGTCAACTACGTGAACATGTCTACCGACCTCATACATTAAAGGCTTGAGGAAGGTGTGATCGGGGAGCACCACCGCCCAGTGACAGTAACGAGAGAGAGTCCAGCAGGTGATGGAGCGGACCAGCGCCTTCCTGTCCTGGAGGCAACTGATCAGGTAAGGGATCAGCTCAGGCAGGTGTTGGGTCATACCATTCATACACCCTTCTGCGATAGCCCCTAGAGCGAGGATTCCTGAAGACAAATAAATGAACAAATATAAACACAAAATTAATGATAAATACAAATATATTTTAGTCTCTGGTGCATCTTGAGGAATATTTAGTGTTACAACCCAGAGGAACAAAACATCTTTCTTATTTATATCCGTTTGTATTCACACCTACGAGCCCGAGTGATTTACGGAAACATCATCATCACTATTACCCGATTCGCGTATCTCCCACTCCTGGTGAAACAGCGTCTCCTTCAGTATGGGGAGGATGACTGGCAACATATCTTCCCGGAACACGTTGGCCAGCACGTCTAGGGCAGCCGCCGAGCACTGGGGGGTAAAAAAAAAAAAAAACGACCTCGGTATTACGACATCCGGTAACGTAAACAGAGTATTTAGGTCAGGAACATCACAAGATCAGGAAGACATACATGAGGCTTATCTGCATACACTATACATTAAACCCTGTTGTGAAATGACCCCTTCGTGAACTGGACTACTTCACGGATCTGGTTTCCGGCAGATATCAAGGTTCAAATCGTTCAAAACACGTAAAAAACAACAACGGAAAAACAAGTGTGTATATCTAACCTAACCCAACCCAGCCTAGCCTAATCCAACCCAACCTAAGATTAAACCACAACACAAAATTCACATCAACATGGCTTATATATACATCACTCTCTCTTTCTCTCTTTCCCGTCGTACCTTTCTCAAATTCCAGTCCGATAAGGAGGAATCGTCGTCCAGGCCGTCGTCCGATTCATCGTCGGGGAACTCCTCTCCGCTGCCACCGTTCTCCATAGGCTCGTGTCGGATCGTGTGCCTAGACTTGTGGAACCTGGGCTTGATGTCTTCACTGCGGTCCGGCACACTCTCGTCCTCCTCCACGTCGCCCTGGATACCACACGTTTTTTTAGAGTTCTTTACGGTGGATTAAAACAATTTCGGAATATTCTCGGCTTAATATAAAATTAACCCAAAATGACTTAAAATCGAACTAAATTTGATATACAATAATAGAAATACTTAAAGGTGTATACAGTCATTAATAGAAATAGCTTGAAATCTGGACAGTTAATAGAAATAGCTTGAAATCTAAAGTCACTAATAGAAATAGCTTGAAATCTAGAGTCACCAATAGAAATTGAGACCAAACTCCACATAAACTAACAAAAAACATTCACAATTATCTAACCGACCAATCCCCCCCCTCCACCTCCCCACACACACACCTTCAGAAGAATGATGTCAATCTCAGAGTACTTCATCCCCCTGACTAGGATGGGTATCAACTTGGGTAGGTGCGGCTTGAGGGCCTCTTTACAGATGGGGTGTTCTGCCAGGGAGAGCCAGAACTCGCACGCTTCCAGAGCCACGTTCTCGTCGGGGTCCTGTAAATCGAGGGAGAAGCGGTTAATGTCGTCGTAGTCTTAGTTTTCCCAGTGTTAAGGGCTGTTTATTATTTGTCACGTAGACACAAGGGTCATTGAATGTTGACTATGGCAAGGACGAGAGCCCCTGACTATTACAAGGACGAGAGCCTCTGACTATTGCAAGGACAAGAGCCCCTGACTATTACAAGGACGAGAGCCTCTGACTATTGCAAGGACAAGAGCCCCTGACTATTACAAGGACAAGAGCCCCTGACTATTACAAAGACCCCTGACTAGAGCCCCTGACTATTGCAAGGACGAGAGCTCTGACTATTGCAAGGACAAAAGCCCCTGACTATTACAAAGACAAGAGCCCCTGACTATTACAAGGACGAGAGCCCCTGACTATTACAAGGACGAGAGCCTCTGACTATTGCAAGGACAAGAGCCCCTGACTATTACAAGGACGAGAGCCTCTGACTATTGCAAGGACAAGAGCCCCTGACTATTACAAGGACAAGAGCCCCTGACTATTACAAAGTCACACAAACACTAAACTCCAATACAAATTTATGTTGCTTCAAGAGACCAAATACAAGACAAAAACTGTAATTATAATTCTGTATTCCCTCTGTATCTGGGTGATTTGGGTATTACAGTCCAGCAGTTACAAAACATGAACCTGTATCGATTAAACACAAAATACTTCGCCCGTTGCGTCATATTGTATCGCACACAACATCGGAAAGATACCATCACCACTAGTACCCCTCACCATCACCACCACTACCCCTCACCACCAAGCCTTACCTGTGTTCTAATCATCATATATTCAATAATGTTGTGCATATGAGGAATGAGGGAGGAGATGTGAGCGTCCAGCAACATGACCAGCGCCCGGCACACGTTCTTCCGCACGTCGGGGTCATCGTCCATCGCCAGGTGGAACAGATTCTGCAAACAAAACAGAGGAGGTTAGTGATTTGTCTTACCTAACCTAGCATAACCAAACCTAACCAAAAACTAACCAAATCAAACCAAACCTAACCAAAAACTAACCAAATCAAACCTAACCTAACCAAAAACTAACCAAATCAAACCTAACCTAACCAAAAACTAACCAAATACAGTAGCTTCTCCATTTAAGGCCCACCAATCTAACGGGTACAGTACGCTATATGAAATCTCAATGTACTCAATATAACCACCAGTGTAATGTACTCAAAACACTAGAGTACAGTAAAACAAACCCATGCATTAACACTTCCCTTCACACAATACTGATAGGAAAGATTTGAAGACAATTTCAATAATACTCAAAGGACAATTATAATTAAACCCACGACCATTATAAGAATCAATCAAACTATACTCAATAAAACACAATTAAAACACTAATCATTAAGGCATCATAGTAAATTCTTCACAAATAAGGAAAAATTTAACCGGCACAAGCTTCAATCTCAATTCACAAACTTAAAACAATTTGTGTCGTCTCAATTATTCAATCAAAATAAACATTACAAAAATATTCTATACGTTTCATAATACTTACCTCCACTTGTTTCATAATTTCAGCCATGGGTTAAGAGAATAAGGTTACAACACACAGGTCTTAAGTCAGCCACACCTTATCCCATGTACTGTGTCCCCTTGACCAGGCTGGGGGGATTTAAAGACCCAAGACCTTGCCGGGTTTAAAGGTCCCTATGTACTCCCACTGTCGAGAGATCATGGAGATATCACAGCTGGTCAATAACACGTCGGTTGGTTATTTACACGAGTAATTGTTCCCTAAAAGTTTTCTGCTGTTCTGTTGATGATGACTGTGCACTAATACCATATGTTGCTTAATATTGAACAGTCTGACACATATGGTGCTTTCTAAAGTGTAATATAAACACTCCAGGAGCTTATTTCCTGCTATGGGTGGTAACATATGGTGTGATGTAGAAGTTCTGTATCTACAATCCTGGCAGAGTTATTTCCTGGGATTAATATTGTATTCCAAAGATTTCACTATAACACGAAAAAGGAAGTATGGAACACTTTGTACCGAGTGTTGTACCGTGCGTTGTACCGAGTGTTGTTGTGTTACCCCCACTACTACACACTACCACTAGAGCCTACACAGTTATCACCGGTACTGAGGGGCGCACTGGTGATGATCATGTGGGGCCCCCAGCACCAGACATGTCCCAACAAGGTGAGATATCATACCAAACAACTCCCCCCTGCCTATCTCACTTAACATACACAAGCCTCATACAACATACATAATACATATACACACATCCCGAGACATCCCAAACCCCCCCCCTACAAGGACAAGAACAATGGTAGGTGTTAAATGGTTCTCTTAACATGTCCCCAACAAGCATGGCCGGCTAGACTGTACATGTCCAGTTGTGTGTGGATGAGTCACTGGTTTCACAACTCTTATTGGAACTTACACAACTTTCTCCCTCCCACCCCCCCACCCCCCACAACAAGCTTAATGTCAACAGCTGGGCTCAGATAACGGGAGCTTATCACGGCTGAACACGTCACAACAAGACACAGGTAAGGTTAGGTGGTACAAGTTTTAAAGGGAATGATTAGAGGAACATTGAAACATACAGGTAAGGTTAAGTTACAAGTTTGAAAAGGGAATATTTATTGATAAGTATTAAACCTGAATGAAAAAAATTAAAAAATTAAAATAATAAATTAAAGCGAAAGATCGAAAGAAAAGGTTAAGGCCAAAAAACAGCTCGATAAGGAACCGTCGAGAAATATATAACTGAAAAATATCGCCCTGGAAATTGAGACCCATTTAGTATGGTTAGGTAGTTAACAGTCCCCCTAGGTGAATTAATTGAGGTGGTTTGGTGGTTCAATTTGTAAACTATGAGTGTGTGTGTGTGTGTGTGTAGTACATAATGTGTAGTGTGTGTGTCTAGGAAGTCTAATCTATGTATGTGTGTCTGTATGTATGTATGTACGTATCATTCTCCCCTACCCACCCCTGCCCCCTTATTGATATTCACGTCCGTCCCTTTAACCAGCTCCTAGATGTAAACAAACTGAAGAAACCCGATAAGAGTGGACAAACATCACGTGAAGATTACCTCCTCTTCCCGATTATTTCACCTGAAGATTAACCACCCCATTTAACCTAACCTCCCCCCTCCACACAGGTAAAGATTTGTGTGTTTGAATTAGGTGAGATAAGCTTGAAGGGGATGAACTAAGCTTGAGGAGGATACATCTCTGTCCCAACTTAAGCTTTGACTGACTGACTGACTGACACACACACACACACACCACTCAAGGGGCCACTGAACTACCGTACACACACACACACACATACATACACACATGGAGACAGCTGCATCTATTGCCACAGTAGCTGCCGTAAGTGCCATCAAACACGTTACAGCAGGAAGGCATCATGCAAGGGGAGGGCCAAAGACCTCGTTTATTTTCTGGCTGTAGGTTCCATTGGGCCCTTCAACCTCCCACTCCTACTAGACCCCCAAACCTATTACGACTGTGACTAGGCCCCCTTCACCCCTCTGTCCAACTAGACCCCAAACCCTCACCCCCTCTGTCTTACTAGACCCCAAACCTATCATGTCTGGGGCCCTTATTATGAGCGACTGGACACCCCATCATGCCTAGATTTGGTTACACGGGATCTTGGTACAGTAAATTTTTGGTTACACAAGTTGAGTTAATTTTTATATTTATTATTTCAGTTCCTCTGGTACAATTTTTTAAGGTGTAGAAAGAAAGTAGGTGTTGCAGAAAGTATGTGTTACAGAAAGTAGGTGTTACAGAAAGTAGGTGTTGCAGAACGTAGGTGTTGCAGAACGTAGGTGTTGCAGAAAGTAGGTGTTGCAGAAAGTAGGTGTTGCAGAAAGTAGGTGTTGCAGAAAGTAGGTGTTGCAGAAAGTAGGTGTTGCAGAAAGTAGGTGTTGCAGAAAGTAGGAGAACAGAAAGGTGTTGCAGAAAGTATGCAGAAAGTATGGTGCAGAAAGTAGCAGAACAGAAAGTAGGTGTTGCAGAAAGTAGGTGTTGCAGAAAGTAGGTGTTGCAGAAAGTAGGTGTTGCAGAAAGTAGGTGTTGCAGAAAGTAGGTGTTGCAGAAAGTAGGTGTTGCAGAACGTAGGTGTTGCAGAACGTAGGTGTTGCAGAACGTAGGTGTTGCAGAACGTAGGTGTTGCAGAAAGTAGGTGTTGCAGAAAGTAGGTGTTGCAGAAAGTATATAAGCCTTGGGTGAGGTTGGCAGGTAGCAACACACACACACACACACACACACACACACACACACACACACAGGCTGTTTACAACTTTTATCAAACAGAATTGTACACACAGATAAGGGGACAGGTTGGGTGAGGATTAGTCTGAGGGCTCCAGGGACCCCATACAAGAGAAGAAACCAACACTACTTTTGATAAATAAAATAAATAAATACAGAAATGTTAACTAATAAAACAGATCAAGATTGAGATATAATATATGTGTTGTGGTGTATTGTCAGAGAAACAATTGAGACCCTGTGTGTAAATGAGGCACAAAGTCAGATCATCAACCTGGGACTTGGTCACATATGGCAGCAGGGTCTACCATTAAACAAAACCTACCCAACAATGGACAAAATCAAACTTAACCTAACCACACACACACACACACACACACTGTCCCAACAAGGTGCAAAATTTAGAGGGAATGTTTCTCAAGTGGCTCAACGGTGCTGCCCGAGACACTTAAAGCTCTCATAAGTGCCTCAACCAACCCTACCCCCTATAACCACCACAAACTGCTGCTTTATCCGCCAAATCATCATTCACCCTGTGTGTGTGTGTGTGTGTGTGTGTGTGTGTGTGTAAGGAGTGTAAATGCGTGTGTAGGTGTGGTTGTATAAGTGCGTGTGCGTGTGTAAGAATAAGTGTGTCTAAGAATGAGCGTATGTGTGTGTAAGCGTTTCCAAGTATACACATATAAGTAACATCTAAGACAACGTAATAAGTAACATCTAAGACAAAGTAAAAGTAACATCTGTACTAAACACCAATAAAAAAAAACAACTCTTGACCAACTGAGATAAAAAAATAGTAAAAAAAAATAAAAAATAAAAATCTCACTTAACTGCGTCAGTGAGCGGGGCAGCCAAGGTGTCGTTAAGCAAGTTAGTTAACACCATTGACAATATTCTTTCTGATCAGCTTAAATAAATACTTCACGGGGACTGGTAGTAACTTTAAGAAATATATTATATCTTTGTGTGTAAAACTGTGGCCGCCTCCTCCAAGATCTGTGTATTGGGAGGGAGTGAGGAAGGAAGGGAGGAAGGGAGGAGGGGAAGGAAGGAAGGAGGAGAAGAAGAGGGGGGAGGGAAGGAGACGAAAGAGGAGAGAGAGGGAGAGTGAAAAACGAGATAGAGAGAGAAAAAACACGGTGACCCTTCGTTGCAACACCGAGGGAACAGGTTCTCCCAACGCCACCACACGACTCAAAAAATTCCATCATTTTATTTACTACTTTATATCTAGAACCGTCCATTTTTTCCCCATAATTCCTCTATAAATTCATACTTTTATAATCTATATATTGATTTCCTATATTGGGATGAAGTGTAGAAATATTATGAGCTAAGTGATAGAAAGTGGTTGGAAGTTCTCATACGTGAGGCAGGAGTTGGCAGAGAGCCAGCCAACACTTCTACACTGACTAGCTGGTATATACATCACCCCTCCCCCCCTCCCCCAACCTTGTCATAGTTTATATAAATATTTATTAACTTCCCTCACTAATGTATATATATAGTGATGAAATACTTGACATAACTACACTCAAAAATTTTGTATCATCAGGGTAAACTTCCCACCAAAATTATCGTCTTTTAAACAGTATAAAATTCATTGACCTAAAATCTACTTAAAAATCGTAAACTAAAAATAATAAACATTAATCTCTTCTCAAAGTAATAAATTCACTGTCCAGAGCTAAGTAAGTATGTAAGTGTTTGTCAGTTGGAACACACTGTACAGATTCATGGTTAGGAATTTGGATAACGGTAACCACGCAATTAAATGTGAGGGGACGACGTAGTGAGTGAGTGAGTGTGTGTGTGTGTGAGGAGTGTGTGTGTGTGTGTGTGGAGTGTGAGTTAGTGTGCGTGTGGATTTTTTCGCCATGACATCCACAAGCAGCCCCCGTCACACACACCCCGAGCATGACGGGTTTGTTAACGAGTTGTCTTGAACCAGGAATAACACTAATCCTTGGCTCTACAGTATATATTTATTTATCAATCTATTTTTTTTTTACTTTATATCAATAACAAAATTAACAAGTGCGTGTTCGAGTTGAGGAGGAAAGAAGGAACGGAAAATTGAAAGAAAGTCCGGGTTTTTTTTTTCAATTCACCTTAAATAAAATAACTTACTGTCCCTCCCCCCTCCCCCCACACACACCTACTTATCACATTACAGATTTAATGGGTAATTCCTCCATACATAAATATACAAAGATAATTAATTCACCCTTAATAAAACTAACGCGGCACACCCATGAAAATAGTTCTTTTTAATAATTATCACCCAATTATTTATTGAGCCATTTACACAGTTATCTTTTACTTGCTTGTTTCTCATATTGATTTAATGTAAAATTAGCTCTTTCGTCATAAGGCTCCACAAGTGCGTTTCAACATAAGGTGTTTTATAAGCCGTGTTCAGTCTGGCATTAGTTGGTCAATATTTTCACCTGCCACCCAACCTTAACCAACCCAACCCAACCTTAACCAACCCAACCCAACCTTAACCAACCCAGCAGCAGCAACCAGCAGCAACCTTATCAGCAACCTTAACCAGCAACCTTAACCAGCAGCAACCAGCAACCTTAACCAACCTTAACCAGCAACCCAGCATAACCAACCTAACGTAACCAGCAGCCTTAACCAACCTTAACCAGCAACCCAGCCTTAACCAGCAACCAGCAACCAACGTAACCAGCAGCAGCAACCAACCCAACCCAACCTTAACCAACCCAACCTTAACCAACCCAACCCAACCTAACCCAACCTTACAAGACCCAGATACATTGGTCAATTAGCACAGGTGAATTTTCTATCTTACCTTTACTGGAAACTTTCAGAGGCCAACCTTATCTTCCCTCACCATAAGGGGCGCATCTTAAACAAGGCTTTGCGGCACACGTAAGGGCGATGACTAAGCTGGGGTCAATTTAACAGGCTGCCACCCCCAGTTACCAGTTAATCATGACTGTGGGGTCAATTTAACAGGCTGCCACCCCCAGTTACCAGTTAATCATGACAGTGGGGTCAATTTAACAGGCTGCCACTCCCAGTTACCAGTTAATCATGACTGTGGGGTCAATTTAACAGGCTGCCACCCCCAATTACCAGTTAATCATGACTGTGGGGTTAATTTAACAGGCTGCCACCCCCAGTTACCAGTTTCTCATGACTGTGGAGCCAATTTAACAGGCTGCTGCCACCCCAGTTACCAGATTAATCGCATGACTGGTGGGGTCAATTTAACAGAGCTGCCACCCCCAGTTACCCAGTTAATCATGACTGTGGGGGTCAATTTAACAACTGCCACCCCCGATTTTCAGTTAATCATGACTGTGGAGACAATTAACATGCTGCCACCCCCAGTTACCAGTTAATCATGACTGTGGGGTCAATTGCTTTTTCAGAGCTGCCACCCCAGTTACCAATTAATCATGACGCGAGGTCCAATTTAACAGGCTACCACACAGTTACCAGTTAATCATGACTGTGGGGTCAGACAACAGCTGCCACCCCCAATTACCAGTTTATCATGACTGTGGGAGGGTCAATTTAACAGGCTGCCACCCCTGATTTTCCAGTTTCTCATGGCTGTGGAACCAATTTAACAGGCACCACCCAGTTACCATTTAATCATGACTGTGGGGTCAATTTAACGACTGCCACCCCAGTTACCAGTTAATCATGACTGTGGGGGTCAATTTAACAGGCTGCTACCCCCAGTTACCAGGTATCCTTGACTGTGGAACAATTTAACAGGCTGCCACCCCCAGTTACCAGTTTCACATGACTGTGGAGCCAATTTAACAGGCTGCCACCCTAGTTACCAGTTAATCATGACTGTGAGGTCCAATTTAACAGGCTGCCACCCCCAGTTACCAGTTTCTCATGACTGTGGAGACAATTTAACAGGCTGCCACCCCCAGTTACCAGTTAATCATGACTGTGGGGTCAATTTAACAGGCTGCCACCACCAGTTACCAGTTTATCCTGACTGTGGAGTCAATTTAACAGGCTGCCACCCCCAGTTACCAGTTTCTCATGACTGTGGAACCAATTTAACAGGCTGCCACCCCCAGTTACCAGTTTATCCTGACTGTGGAGCCAATTTAACAGGCTGCCACCCCCAGTTACCCGATAAATACCACAATAAAACTAATTAAACTCCAACTTACCTGTAGAAAGGGGTCAATGTTTGCCATGAGAGCTTGAGTTTTGCTAATTATAAACTGATTGACGCAGGCAATGGCATGAGATCTGTGGAAGGAGAGAGAGAATGGTGTTAGGAATGTGTCTAAGTCGGATGGATGGTCAGGTGGATTAAGTCACTACAGGTTAAGTGGGTATTTTATCCACCTACCTAACCTAACCCTATGTAACCAAGGAGGTTTACTGTAGAAATAAGTGGATTTATATTCTCTGGCTCTCTCTCCCTTGCTTTATCATCTCTTTCTGTCTCTCTCTACCCTTCCCTTCTCTTTCTCTGCCTCTCTCATATAAGCAAGAGACATCTAGACAAACAGACTAACACAATTTATATACACACATTAGCAACCTGTTCTTCCTTCCACTATTTTTTAGCATAATAATCAACAAGACCCCCAAGGCTACAGTTTACTTGGAACCTAACCTGATGTGACCTCTCCTGACCTGACCAAACTTGGGACCTGACCTGACCTAACTTGGGACCTCTCCAGACCGAACTTGGAATCTAACCTAACTTGGGACTTGACCTGACCTAACTTGGGATCCTGACCTAACCTAATAGGAATGAGGCAATTGACAGATCGATCTTGACTCAACCTGTTATCTCAAATGATCTGATAACACACACACACAGGATATCCATAACTGATATCAAATTTAAAAAAACTTATCACTCCAATGATAAAAGTATTTTTTTCCAAGACTTTCAAATCTTTAATAAAAACTTTCAATGTTTACTTTTAATTAGGAAAAATAAAGAAAGTTGTATTTGTTTTGTTGTTGTGTGAAAGACCCTTAATTTTACACTGACATAAAAGTTCTCATTAAAAAGTTCCAATAACCCAAATTTTACACCAACACCAAAGTTCTCATAAAAAGTTCCAATATTTACCTAATTTTCGATGACGTGTGTTTGAAGAACTGAAGAAACTTAGGAATTAGCGAGTCTAGCGGCCGATCGGGGGACTTCTCTAGGAATTCAGCGCTGTCCTCACATATCTTCTGTAGCGCCCCGAACGCTCCCTGTGGTGAGAGAGAAACACGACACAAATGATTAGAAAAGAACAAGTATAAAGGTTATTATCATTGTTATCTTGTTACTGCCACTTAGAGCACTTTCCTGTAGGGTACTCTTGGAAAAAAAAAACACACACAGACACACACACACACACACGTAAATTCCCCTTCCACAAGACAAAATTTTAACCCACAAGATTCCTCGGTAGGGACGTGCATTGAAGCCTGTATCAGTGATGTCAGTTCAGCTCGTGCGGCCGATTGTGTTGGGGGGCCGTTAGGTAATGCCGTCAGCTGTAGATTAACCACCACCCCTCACATTAACTTATTTCATATATGATATTTAAACACCCTAAGCCTGCCTGGGGGTTGGGTTAGGTTAGGTTTGATTAGGATAGTGTTAGATTAGTGTTGGGTTAGGTTAAGTTCGGTTAAGTTAGTGTTAGGTTAAGTTAGGTGAGATACACATGTGACCCCCACCAACTCTCCCAGCCAGCCCAGCCAAACCCAGTCTACATGCCCTAAAGCCAGCCAGACACCACCACACCCACACCGCCTAAGAGCCAGTCAGCCTAGTCTACATGCCCTAAGAGCCAGCCAGGCACCACCCACAATGCCTAAGAGCCAGTCAGCCTAGTCTACATGCCCTCAGACCCAGCCAGCCAGCCAGACACCACCCCACCCACACCGCCTGAGAGCCAGCCAGCTGACACACCACCCACACACACCACTAAGAGGGAGAAACAGTCACCCCCTTGGATATTGATTTTTGACCGGGGACCACCACACAACTGACACATGGACCGCACACCTTTAAACCTCTTTAGTCTCTCCCTCCCCCCCACCCACGATGCAACACTTCACACCTACACCCACGAGAGCCGTCAAAACACTAGTATCGGGGATATGTTGTTACCCCGGATGTGCTTCGACCTCGTTTCATTGGGTGTGTTTTCCCCCGGCGTTAAAAATCCGACCCCGGAAGAGGATGACTACGTAGGAGCAGTCAAGTAAATCACAGTCCTAATGTAACCTAACCTAACCAAAACTTAGCCTAACCCAACCAAACCCTAACCTAACTCAACCTAACCTAAGTTACCTAACCCACACAATCCCTAACCTAACGACATGACAAGACAGCTTCCTACCAAATCAGCTCGGCACTCTTTCCAAGCTTTAACAAAGAGACCCACAGCTTCGACCCGGGCCAGCCAATAGGAAGATAGTAGGGTGTGGCTGTAGGAAGTGTGTGTGTGTGTGTGTGTGTGTGTGTGTGTGTGTGTGTGTGTGTGTGTGTGTGTGTGTGTGTGTGTGTGGCTTGTAGGGTGTGTAGTTGTAGTGTGTGTGTGTGGCTGTAGGGAGAGTGTGTGTGGCTGTAGGGAGTGTGTGTGTGGCTGTAGGGAGTGTGTGTGTGAGTGTGTGTGTGGCTGTAGGGAGTGTGTGTGTGTGTGTGGCTGCATGTAAGAAAGAAGAATTCTAAAGTAAAAAAAATAGGGATTCAAAAGATTTCGCCTGACTGGTGGTGGTGGGAAGGTGGGGTTAATCGATAACTCTTTTTTCATTGGCTAACGGACATTTTCCCACGGCTATTGGGGGGTAATGTTTATCACACATGGCGCCTCGGCCCATTGGCATCACCGCCCGAAGAACACGGTATATACATCTATGGGGTACAGGGATGATGTACTGTATTTGGTGTCCTGGGTTCCACTTGTGAAGAATCTCTCTCTCTCTCTCTCATTTATGCATGCACACACACACTCACTCAAATCACTCACTCACACACACTCACTAACACACAAATCACAAACACAGAGACTTGCTAACACTCAAAACACACACACGACCAACCCAGAGTACCGTAGAGTAGCTTACCTCGCACACGTTGTAGTCCGCAGAGTCCAGCATCTCGCATAGTCTAGGGAGGAGCTCGGGCCACGTGGATAGTTCGCCTTTGGATGCTGTCGTCGTGATGAGGATGCCCACCGTCGCCCGGATGAGAGGAGACGGATCCCCCACGGCCGACAAACATTCCGCCTGATGGTAAACACAAAAACAAGCGTCAATTAATACATCAGCGGCCATTTCCTTCTATGGGGTTAAGTTAGGCAGTCGGAGAAAACAGCGCCAAAACTCCCTCATTCACCACCATTTCTCTCCCCCCCACCACCACCACCCCTAGCTAGCAAGAGTGCGTGGGGGATAAAGCATAGGACAACACAGCTCACAATAGATAATAAATACAGGTCATAACGTAGAGAAATGTTACAGAAAACACGTCCTTCATCTAGACCCCCCAAGGTAAGGTCTTTCAAGGTGTCGAACGATACAGTAATTAATCTCCACGGAACCTCTATTTAACGGGCTAGAGACGTGAAAGTCCATTATATCAAGGTTCAATTAGAAATGAAACCTGGATGTAAGGAACTAGTGATCAAACTCCATTATATCAAGGTTCCATAGACAGAGGCCCATTTCACTATTAACTGGACCGCTAACTTGAAGAATTACATTTAGGCATTTTGTTAAGACTGGGCATTAGGGCATTGGGGCATCACACAGCCGCAAGAGCAAGGTAAAGCAAAATGCAGAGAAAGATGAAGTGGTAAACAAAAGCCGTACACACATTCCAAACAAAAGCCGTACACACACATTCCAAACAAAAGCCGTACACACATCCCAAACAAAAGCCGTACACACATTCCAAACAAAAGCCGTACACACATCCCAAACAAAAGCCGTACACACATCCCAAACAAAAAACGTTACACGACAACTAAAAGCCGTACACACAACCGAAACAAAGCTGTTACACATTTCAAACAAAAACCCGTTACACACAACCAAACAAAACCGTACACACATTTCCAAACAAAAGCCGATACATCCCAAACTAAAACGTTACACATCCCAAACAAAAAGCTGTACACACATTCAAACAAAACCAGCACTGCAACCCAAACAAAACCCGTTACACAATTTCAAACAAAATATACACACACATATCTAAACAAAAATAAATAACACACATCAAACAAAACCGTGCCACACACATCCCAAACAAAAGCCATGTACCACACAACCCAAACAAGCCATTTTACATTCAAAACTAAAAGCGTTACACACATCCCAAACAAAGCCATACACACATCCCCAAACAAAACCGTACACACACACATCCCAAACCAAAGCGTTACCACACACACATTCAAAGCAAAAGCCATACACACACATATCCAAACAAAAGCATTTTACATTCCAAACAAAAACCGTACACACATCCCAAACAAAAGCCATACACACACGCATTCCAAACAAAAGCCGCACACACACAACCCAAACAAAAGCCGTACACACACTCCAAACAAAAGCCGCACACACAACCCAACCAAAAGCCACACAAATCGGGATAAACAAAAGCCGGTAAACACACCCCCCAAAAAACAAAAAGCCGTGAACAAAAAGGTAAAATAACTAATACTAACCTTAATAAATTGTGCCACATCAGGGGGGAACTGGTGAAAATGTGCCTTGACATTATTCTTCAAAATTAGCCCACTGAGAGATCTCGTAGGTTCATCTGGCAAAAAAAACAAAAGAGAATCTATGGTAAGAAATAAGAGAGGGGATGTATAATAAAAAACAAATGAAGATCTATGGTAGGTAAAAAATAAGAAGAGGCAGAATAGGTAACAAAAACAGGAGACGAAAGAAAAAAGAGATGATCTATGATAAGGAAAAAAAAGAGACGTAAAAAAAAAACGTATTGTGCGGGAAATAAACAAGAAATGTATGACGAATTATACAAAAAATAATAATAATTCTTAACCAATGAGGCATAATGACGGTGAGGGTTTGACTAATAATAAATGAAGTATAATAAAACCAAGCATTCTAACCAAGTAAGGTAAAGGAGTTATCGTAATAAATAAATAAAAAAAAACTGGGGACAGCAAATTCAGTGATAATAAAATATAGAACTACATTACATACTCTAGAAAATGACCTCAACTTGACCTATGACCTCAACTTGACCTCGACCCCCAATAATATGTATATAAATACTGTACTATGGAATTATGCAGGTTAGAATAGGTATGAAAATAAATAAACAAACTGCTACTAACCAGAGACGGAGTCAATCTAGGATAACGTATGTTTTTGGAAGAATTAATTGATGCCTACGTACCATACAGTGTTACATACCTGCCTACGGGTCATAATTACCTTGTGTGGAGCGCCTCAACTGCCTACGGGTCATAATTACCTTGTGTGGAGCGCCTCAACTGCCTACGGGTCACATAATTACCTTGTGTGGAGCGCCTCAACTGCCACTTCAGTCATAATTACCTTTGTGCGGGCGCTCAACCGCTCTAATGGGTCATAATTACCTTGTGTGAGCGCCCAACTGCTCCACGGTCATAATTACCTTGTGGAGCTACCAACTTCTGCCTACGGGTCATAATTACTACTTGTGTGGAGCGCCTCAACTGCCTACGGGTCACATTACCTTGTGTGGAGCGCCTCAACTGCCCACGGTCATAATTACCTTGTGTGGAGCGCCTCAACTGCCTCACGCGTCATAATTACCTTGTGTGGAACTGCTTCACGGTCACATATATGCACTACCTTTGTGAGCGCCTCAAATTACTGCCTACGCCTACGTGTCCTAATACCTTGTGTGGGAGCGCCTCAACTGCCTCACGGGTCATAATTACCTTGTGTGGAGCACCTCAACTGCCTACAGGTCATAATTACCTTTGTGGAGCACCCTCAACTGCCTACAGGTCATATACTTTGTGTGGAGCACCTCAACTGCAACTGCCTAACTACCACGGTCATAATTACCTTGTGTGGAGCACCTCAACCGCCCTGCTCACGGGTCATAATTACCTTGTGTGAGCGCAACTGCCTACGGGTCATAATCATTCTTTGTGTGGAGCTACCAACCGCCCACGGGTCATAATTACCTTATGTGGAGCTACCTCAACTACGGGTCACCTTTGTGGGAGCGCCTCAACCGCTTCATACGTGTCACATTACCTTTGTGTGGAGCGCCTCAACTGCCCACGGGTCACATAATTACCTTGTGTGGAGCTACCAACTGCCTACGTGTCATAATTACCTGGTGTGGAGCGCCAACTGCCTACTTCTGTCACATAATCATTTGTGTGAGCGCTACCTTGGTGTGTGGAGCGCCAACTGCCTACGGGTCATAATTACCTTGTGTGAGCCCTCAACTGCCTACCTTGTAGTGGAGCACCTCAACTGCCCACAGGTCATAATTACCTTGTGTGGAGCACCTCAACTGCCTAACTGCCTACAATTCTCAACTGCTTCACGGGTCAATTACTTTGTGCCCACGGGTCATAATTACCTTTGTGTGGAGCACCTCAACTGGGCTCACGGGTCGCTTACCTTGTGTGGAGCGCCTCAACTGCCTCATCGGAAGTCACATAATTACGGGTCACATTTGTGTGGGAGCGCCCACTCAACTGCTTCCACGGTCACATAATTACCTTGTGGAGAGCGCCTCAACTGCCTACGGGTCACATAATTACCTTCGGAAGTTAGTTTTGTGAGGACAAATATAAGATATTTGTTGAAGTCTGTGAATTTGTTGAGTTCTTCTAGTTTCTGAAAAAGAAAAAAAATTTGCATAGTACTAGGCTCAGCTACAAGACTTGCATGGTGCTTGTCAATCTCATATCAAACAGTTACATAACTTACACCTATTAACAAAAATAATCTTACTATAGAAACTGTAAAACTCATCCTCGGTAACACTATGTCTACATGCATGTACGCACAGTATACACACAGACAACACTACACATACATCTACACGGGTTTTGGTTTTAAGTCTCCAATGGGCTTATGATCGTCCTCACAGGCCCTAACCTAACCTACAATAAAACCACTAAGATTGGAGCTCCTTAGCTTATGGCGGCCACCAATCATAATGGGTCTATGGATCAGGTTAACTTAAGGCCTCAAACCTCCTCATACTGCACACGCGACACCAACAACAATATAATCAACTGGTGTCGGCAATAGTCAATAAGGGGGGGATTACTCTGCAAAACAAATAATAAATTATAATAAATGCATTACCTGTATATACACATTGTTAGGTGTAATTAAAGTGTTTACCAGGTGTACAGGAGGAGTGTACCACCAATTACAGACAACAAGTACATACACACACACACACAGCAACAATAATAATAATGTAATAATAACAATTAGTATAACAAAATAATAAAATATAAAAATACATCATCTGAAATAAACAATTAAAATAAATTAAACCCCCCTCCCAAAAAAATATTAATAACAATAATCAAAATCCACAAAAAAAAGCCAAATATTTTCCGCAAGCACGAGTAAATCACCTGTCAGAGGTCGGGGAACAGGGGTAAGGTAATGATGATGGTGTGAGAGACTCCTTCCATCAGAGCTCTCAGTTTACTCCGGCACTTTGGCATGGTGGACGTCACTAAAGTTTCGTGGTAGTCTGATATCACGGTTGTTTCCATCTGTGGTGTAATTAAGTTACCGTTCCGTCGAGAAAGGAACACATCTGACTTGGATCCTACTCTAGCAGTTGATTTAGTCGATTTCTTGAAAAACGTTTATTTCCGGATGAACCGTAAGTTTTAGTGAACAAGATGTAAAACTATGTATCTGAAATAAGAGGTCACTGATTTTCGAAGATTACTGTAAAGAGCGGTACAAAATGTCCTCAAAAGATGATCGATGTCATTATGTGTGACCTTGAAGATGAAATAATTCTCAATCATTCCTTCAGTTCTGTCGTGAATTTCAAGCAATATTCAGACATTTTTATGTACTCTTATTATAAACAGCTATATAAAACTAGTGATTTATCTTCCTCAAAATTAGTATCTTGTATATATAAAAAATCAGGAAACTATTTTTAAAATGATTATTTCCAGTGTAATCCAAAAAATTTTAGCTGCCGTGTATATAGTGGAGTTACCCCTTTAACTATTTTTTACGATGGGGAACAATGATAAATTATGAGTCGGTATTGAAATTCTCATTACATTAAGATAAAACTAAATAAATAATAATTACATCCCAGAAAACTGTGACTCAAAAAGGTGGGGAAATTTGGCACAGTTACGGCTTTTCATAAGAAGTCATACGAAGTGGACCTGTTGTGTTATGGTATATCTTTTCTGCTTTATTCAGTCATATCTACAGAAAAGTAAGAGTACACTAGTACAGTATAATACACAGAAACATAAGTCAAGCGAAATATTGACAGGTGTGTACATATGTCTTAATTTTTTGTTCAGATGGCATCAATGAGGAAAAGGTCATACCAGGCAGAGATCCTCAATTATGGCTTCACAGGAATAGAGAACAAAGGACAAATGAAGCCACAATGTGTCGTGCTGACTACAGGGTCTTTCAAAAATAATCACCTGAAGAAACACTTGGACAATTTGCACTCACATCTGTCTTCCAAACCACAGGAATACTTTGAGAATTTGGAAAGAGCTGTCAAAAGGCAGAGATTGGATAGCAACAAGAGAGCAACACTTGATCAACGTTCAGCATCAAAAGCTAGCTTTGAAGTGGCCTGGTCGATTGGTCGAAACAAGCAGCCGCATACTATTGGCGAAGAATTAGTCAAACCTGCAGCTGTGAGAATGGCAGAAATCATGTGTGGGCAGAAAGAAGCCATGCAACTGGGTTCAGTGCCTTTGTCTGCAAGAGTTGTGAGAGAGAGAAATTCCATCTTAGCAGAAAATGTGAGAGAACAAGTGATTTCTTCAATAAACGAAACCAAAGATTTTGCTATTCAACTTGATGAGACTACAGATGTCAGTAGCAATTCGCAGCTAATGGTATATGCTCGATACAGGGGTGCTGATGCAATTAAAGAAGAAATTTTATGTTCTCCTCTTGTAGAGATCTCGTGGAATTGATGTCTTCAACAAGGTTGATGCACACTTCAAAAAACCAAGGGTTGATTTGAAGTGGGAAGACTGTATTGCTGTGTCTGTTGATGGAGCTCCAGCCATGTTGGGTCATGTCAGTGGCTTTGGCCAAAGAGCAGATTCCAAAAATTGAGTTTCCCACTGTATGATACATTGCCAAGCATTGGTTGTGAAGCAGTTGGAACCAGAACTGGAAGCTGTCATGAATGATGGGATCAAGATTGTCAATGCTGTGAAAGGGCATGAACTAAACACGTGGCTGTTTCCTGATATGTGAGGATGGGGAGGCTGAATATTCAGGCCTCCCTTTTCACACAGATGTTAGGTGGCTTTCATGTGGGAATGTCCTCAACAGTGTGTGGGCTCTCACGACCGAACTTGAAATGTTTCTGGTTGATCAAAAACATGTCCTTGCAGATAAGTTCAGAAACTCCACTTGGCTTGCACTTCTCGCACATTTAGCAGACATTTTTGGGCATGTGAATGAATTGAACGAGGAATTGCAAGGAAAAACATGAATGTGAGTGAGTCAAAACAAAGCTATTAGAGTTTTTGGAAGATTGTGAATATTTCAGTCTTGGTGACATCAAGGAGTCAGTTACAAGGCACCTGACCAAACTCAACAGCGGTTCTCTGATTACTTTCCAGAGCTTGATTCACATACTGTCAGTTGGGTTGTGAATCCCTTTAACTGTGAACTTGTAGATGTGCCTGAAGAGCCTGAAGGATTGGCAGAGGCGCTTCTTGAACTTCGCCCCAACAGTGAAGCACACATGGAATTTCAGAACAAGTCAGATCCCTCGTCTTTTTGGATGTCAAAAGCTGCAAAGGCTTTTAAAATTGCACATTTGGAAGCGACAAAAATGCTGCTGCCTTTTGCAACAACCTACCTTTGTGAACAAGGATTTTCTACCCTTGTGAACTTGAAAACAAAGTACAGTATAGAAATCGGTTGGACCCTGAAGACAGCATCCAAGTTGCTGTGACATCAAAAATCCCTGATTTTGATGCTGTTGTATCAAAAATGAAACAGCATCATTTTTCCAAAACCTTAAGTGGAGATGATTTGAAGGAAATTCTTCAGTTCCCCAATTGTTTTTAATAATTTTGTTTGTGTGTTATTCTTATGCCAGAATGTGTGGCCTTTTTTATATCTCCATGATAAAGGATCCAATAAACATTTATTGAATTTGAATATTTCGTACATATACCATATCCAACAATTTTAGGAGCAAATTGGCTTGTTTTTGTTACTGTACTAGTGTACTTTGAAGTATGGGGGTAATTCCATTTTACTCAAAAAAAAAATTTAAGTAATACCCAAAAAAGTTGCCCGACCCTTGACCTATGTCGACACGGAGTCACTGCGACCACTCATCTCTACCGTACGTCTGGGTAAGAACTCCCGAGAAACGATCCCCTGACGTGCTCTTACGGCCGCCGATAGTTAAATAACGTTCCCATTACTTTGTTTGTTAGGGTGAAAAGTGTGGAGGAGTGAATGTGTGTGTGTGTGTGTGTGTGTGTGTGTGTGAGTGAGTGAGTGTGAGTGAGGAGTGAGTGAGTGAGTGAGTGAGGAGTGAGGAGGAGTGTGTGTGAGTGAGGGAGTGTGTGTGTGTGTGTGTGTGTGTGTGTGTGTGTGTGTGTGTTGTGTGTGTGTTTAGTGTGTGTGTGAGAGTGGTGAGAGTGTGTGTGTCTCTGCAAGGTTAATGGCAGCCAGTTACCTTCTGCTAATGGCATGGTCAAATAACCTCACCAGATGGCACTCCACAACAAAACAAAAACAAGTGAGCATCTTAAACACAAAAAACTCAGCAGTGAAGAAAGAACAATCACCTAACAACAACAACAACAACTGCACAATGCCAATGACTTTCCTTGACACACACCACCTCCCTCCACCCACCCACCCACACTCACCACCTCCTCCTCCACCCACACACCACCACCTCCACCACCACCACCACCACCTCCTCCACCACCACTCACCTCCCTCCACCCACACCACCACCACCTCCCTCCACCCACACCTCCTATACTCCACCCACATCACCACCCTCCACCCACAAACAGCATCTGACACAACATATCCCATATAAGCATCAAAAAATCAAAACCATCTCAGAGCCGATGTTTCAAATAAGGTCGAGATTCAACATTCACAAACATCATTCTATTCCCACAAATGCCTCTGGTGTGTGTGTGTGTGTGTGTGTGTGTGTGTGTGTGTGTGTGTGACCTGTATATCCACTAATGCAGTCCTATATTTACTCTTCAGGTCAGGTCAGGTCAGGTCAAACTTGTGACTGGTTCAACAGGACAGGGCCTCTTGGTATCAAATCTTCCTCCTTCCACCATACCCCATTCATGCTTCTCTCTCCCTTAACCCAGCCCACAGCGGTGATAAAGGAGACAGCACACAAGAACCAGGAAGGGCCTATGGTATTTAAAGCATTCTAAAAGGTAAAAAGAAGTGGCCAGTGAAAAATGAAGTCTGAGTTTTGTAAATATATTGAAGTGTGGGAATATATCTCTCTCTCACACACACACACACACACACACACACACACACACACACACACACAGTCGTAGAGAAAAATCCCCAAACCTGGAGATGCCACAACGACCACCTTCTTTAACAAGGGGTGATTCTGTACTCACTGC